AACCTGAGGCTGCAGAGACACAAATGGTTCTTTGGACCTTCCATGGATGCACAATAGAAATCTAAATTTTTAGATCTATTTTTTTGTCTTTAGATTGAAAACACTTTAAGAAGAAAATGCATCTTTTCTTTTTTCTATTTCACAAAGTTTCGCATTTTTCTTTATTTCCCCAACATGAAAATAGAAATAAGACAGCAACTCTTTAAAAATGATAACAAAATTAAATTCTTATAGTAGATATTTACCATTTTTTCCAACAGACCCTGGTTAAAGGCATACCTTTATCATGTGTTGTAGGTCTAACACATGATATTCCAATGGAATATCATGGAATGGAATGGAGGTTTGTGTGGTAGTTTTTTTTTTTTTTTTTTTTTTTTTTTTTTTGTGTTTTGGGTAGTTTTAGAGCAAACAGCTTCAATGATGACATGAACCTGCCTGGTGCTTACTTGTTCAGTTTAGCATTTTCCTCTTTAGTCCTGATGAGCTTCGGAGGAGGCGCTTCTTGGTCCAGTCCTGTTCAAACACATCACACACAAACACAAAAAGTCATTACAAGCAATAACGTTTCTTTTTTTCATTAAGGATGCAATTAATAATTTTAATATTTATTCAATTATTATGAGAATCAGGTAAAAAGATTAACACATTCTGATGTTTTTCATCAAACAATACAAACAATTTATTCCTTTTTATGAAAAGGAAAATCAAAACAATTTTTGTCTAAAATGCAACAACAGCATTTTTGGGGGGAACTATTACTCATTTGTAATAAAAACTGCGTCTGCAGCCAAATAAATCCTTCTAACATCAACATGGTATTTCTGCTTGACTTAACATCAGCACAGTATAGTGATTCATTTTGGATCAACTGATAATTGGATATTAATAGGTGCTTAATAAGAGATGTTTTCTTTTACAGAACGAACTATGATAGGCTGAAACTCTGGCACTTGCAGAATAAGAATTTTTTTAATCTTAAATGCAAAATGTAAAAATTTTCCAACTGTTTAGGCTGAATTGCTGATCTGCATTGTTCTTTGAGCAAATGGCCTTTTTTCAGTCTGTAGCAATTAATTGATTAAACTAGTTGATTATTTCAAAAATTGATTCGAATCATGTCAGCTTTATTTTTCATATAATTATTTTTGGACTCATGTGCAAAGAGCTAACGAGTTCACCTCTTTCTACATATCCCAGCTGTTGATGGTCTCGCTTTAACCGAGATGGAGACACCCTGAGGGGGGCGGCCATCTACAGAGAGAGAAAAGACCAACATGTTATTACAGCAAGAAACACACACTCTTTAGGATAAGAATAAATGTTTATATTTAAAAAAAGAGCACGAAAAAAAAAAAACATGCTCTGTGAAACTTTTAGAAAATGTTAAGCTCTACCTCTCTTGGATAATCAGAAAGAGGTTTCCTCTCCCCTCCGTTGGTCCTCAGTCCCCTGAAGGACTCGGGGATAGTCTGGGAGGAGGAGCCATGACTCAGTCTGTCAGGACTGTGGATTCTTGCCTCCAAGTGTCCATTTGGGAATTCATAACCCGGACGGTCCAGTAGTTTACTGTCTGGGCTGTAAGCCCGGCTTTTAGCCAGAACATGCCCTGGACTCAGATCTCGGCTGTCTGTGGGTCTGGCTGTCTGTGGAGCCATCCGTCTTTCAAGCGGACGGTTCGCCGCTGTTGACGACTCCCAGCGCCTGGCATCTCTATCTGGAGACGGGCGCTTGCATCTCTGGCTGCTGTCCTGAACAGCAAGGGGCAGCTGTGGCATCTCAGGCTCAGAGTCTGACGACAGAGGGTCGTTGGGGTCATAAAGCTCAGTCCTACGAGTAACAGGAGGAGAAACTGTGAGAATAGCTTCTAGGAGCAACCCAATTTTAACCACCAGGTGAAACAAAATGGATGCTGTGATGCAACGATTGAGGCACAGAAGACTCGCCTTGGAAAAACATTCAACACAATTTGAACGAGTACTGCTCTCCTCACCTCGTTTCAGAACTTGGACTTTGGTCCTCAGATTTCTCATTCTGTTTGTCGATCGGCTGGAAGGAGGATTTCCATTTGTCAACAGAAGCATCTGCTGCAAAACGCCAAACAAACCTTAAAAAAGCTATTCTATAAAAACTGTCATGTGTAACTTCTTTTCTAGTCCTGCTGTAAAGCTAGCAATGACATCGAGGCTGCTTTTCATGCTGTGAATTACAGCAGGACTAGGACTATATCTGTATCTTCAAATATATGTGAACACTTTTGCATTAAAAAGAAATTAAATGAGTAAGTTGACGTTTCACTTTTTTATTATTATTATTATTTTTTTAAATCATAAGAGGTGTTGCCTTATGGGAAAAAACATATTTTCTCCTTTATGTCTCATTATTATCCCCCAACCTTATATTTTGAATGGCCTAGGCTGGGTGTCCTAAACCTTTTAAATGTTAAAATGTGTATGCATTTGAATTTACTTAAAAATAATAATTTCTCAAACATAAGAATATATGAGATAACAGCCATGATCATGTTTATTTTGGTTTAACACTAACCTAATGACCGGAAAGAGTCTGAATGTACCAAGCATTACCTTCAACTTTTTGGGGCTGGGTCTTAGAAGCCATGTCCGGTGTTCCTGAAATTCGCTTCATAGCTTCTATAAAATGCTGGGGGACTCTGGAAAAGGACAGTAAACACATAAGACTGACCCTCAGGGTGCTAGGCAGAAATAACCTAACTGAAATAGGGACGGAAGCTAAGCTAGCGGGGCTAGTTTTAATTTAGCTGTACAGCAAAACAAAAGAACAAAAATGGTTAAGGAGAACCGTTTATTCTGAGCCTTACAACAAGCACCCAGCACTGATATGAAGTAAAAAAATGCTGGGGGCTGGAGGGAAAAGGCCAGTGTTTACAGGAAAAGAAAGCTCGCACCCATTAGCCAGTTAGCTAAACAAATCCCAGAAGACTGAACAGAGCTAATAGTTTGCAAACCTTGGAGCTGGAGCCGGTTTGAACCCCAACGCTGGTGGTGGAAACCTAACGGGTTCAAACGGATTTTTCTGCATGCGTCTCATTATTCCTGTAAAAAGAAATTCTCGGTGTGTTATATCAGAAAAGGGTGTCTATGAAATAAGTCTCGCTCACTAATAAACTGCTGTTTTACCGCATAGTCACCGACAGGTGGCTGCAAAACCCAAGCTTGATTCTGTGCCGTGCAAATCACAACCAGACAATCTGTACCGGTGGTTGTGGAGTGACCTCAGACTAAACGCCAGGAGACATTTAAAACAAATCCAACCACAAGAAGAATAGAATAGAATAGAATAGAATAGAATAGAATAGAATAGAATAGAATAGTAAGGCACAACAAACTGTTCCACAAAACAAGAAACAAAAAAACACCAGCACACTATATATGAAAATGTAAAAAAAATATGTAAGAAAGATGTACCCGTTTACAGTTTTAAAAGGGGATAGGTTAGTAATAGTGGTGTTGGAGGAGACAGCAGTCAAAAGAGCCAAAAGGTACTTTGAATCTGACAAATGAGACTCATCAGGATTTAATTTATTGACTGTATATAAAGTATGTGGTTTCTCTTAAACTTGTCCTTTATCAAAAATATTAGTAGGGAGGTGTGTTTAGGCCATTAAATGGATGAAAGAAAGTAATTGAAACTATAGCCATAATTCATTATTACACCCTGAAAAGGAAGGGTATAATAAATGATGTATTTGAACCTTAAGTTAATATACTAATGAGGATTCTGACTAGCTTTTAAACAGTTAATTACTTTCATCTGGAAATGTGTACTAAATCCTAACCGGTTTGATTTGGATATGCATTCATATTTGATTCCAACCTGGGGTCTTTCAAGGACAGGTAAACAATGACTTCTTTCTCAGAAAGGTAATCTGAAATGTCTGCGTAGGCCACACCAATGCTAATGTTCCACTTTAACAGGACTCATGAGATCCCATACACTGCTGATCCCTTCGTTCCTGTAAAATCCTAACCAGGTTTAGAACCATCTAATCTGGTGGGACTCATCCTGACATTGTAAGAAAATATGGATGAGTCAATTTGTTGGTCAAGGTTGGAGAAAAACGATGTGATAAACCTGAGGCCAAGTTTTGCCGTATCACTTAACTTCTGAATGTTTCATAGTGGGGGATTTTCCTTACGAGGTGCTGAGGCCACTATAACATTTTTCACTCTATTTCTAAGCAACACTGAAAGCACAGTCGTGAGTGGCCCTGATGTCTACAGATTAGACAGGAAATGCAGAGGGCCTTCTAAGAAAAGTCCTGAAGGAGAAATAAGGAAAACTGACACTGATCTTTTGTCTTGTGACACAAATAAGGAATGCTGTAATAACTAAGTCAGTCGTGGATAATTAAAATTGCAAGGTCAAGATGCAGATATGACCGCCTGGATTCACGAGTGAGTGGAAACTCAAAGCTGCATTACACAACTTTAATTTTTTTTTCACATTTGTTTAAAACTGCCAATGTTGTAAGACAAATCTGTGAAAAAAAGGTGTTCTGCCAACTCTTAGTTATCTTCAGAAATAGACCTGCCACAAACAACCAATCAGAGCCAGGAGGAAGATCTTAGTGCTGTCAATCACTCTCCTACACACTGTTCACACCCTCCCCCTTTGTCTTTGCTATGCTAAAACTAGCTTTCCACACCAGAGCCTGCCACAAATGCTCAGGCTACTTAGCGTAGCCACTGATGACAAAGTTTCCCTGCAACTGTGAGTCATTTATCCACCATTAGCAGACAACATTGACAGTTTAGACAAATGTGTAAATAACTTTACAATTTTTTTTAATAAAAATATTTTACATCAAAAGGTGAATGAATTTAAACCACAGCAACACAAGAGGTTTAGGAGCTAAAATAGTTTGCATGCATATTTCAGTAAAGAGCAAATGTTCTATTCTGTCCACAACTCCATGTTGGGTACAACCCAAATGAGGAAGAGCAATAACGTTCAGACAATGATGTAGATTTTCTTTTTATTGCCAAATAAAACTGCAGCATGAGATGACTAGCATGATACATGAGCTCTGAAGAACACTTAAAGGGTTACAAAGAGGTACACTTAAAGAATGAAGGCAGACATCATCATCAGTGACTGAGCTAATGATCATTCTCAATCACAGGCTAAAATATTTAAACACGATTTAAAAAGTTAGAGCCAACAAGTTTCCCTTTTATCAGCTCTCAGTCTACACACAGTCATCAGTAAGCGACATTCATATTTTTTTTTATTACATCATAAACCTTTTAGGTACAAACCACAGAGGCCTTAGTGTACAATCTCTACAACAGTGAGGTAAAGGTATTTTTCTGGTGCCGAGTTTTACAACTCTAAGGTCATTCAGTCTGCTACAGAAATGCGCATGAAGAAAATATGAGAAACCAGTTAAAAACCACCAAGACAGGAGGGCTGAGATTTTTTATTCTATTTTTTTTCCTTTCACTTCTAGAAGAGATTTTAAAATAAAAATGTTCTGCCAAAGCAGACAGACAAGAAAGCATTCCATTTCATTTTTGGTCTTTTGCTGTGGAGAAACAAATATAGCAGCAGTTAAGGCAAAAAAAAAAAAAAAAAAGATTATTCCCCATGGTTACAATTATACCTGAGTATCTACAAAGACTATTAAAACAAATCTACATTTAATCACTGGAGCAAATGGTTTTGGTTAAAATAGAAAAACAAAGTTACATTTGTGGTTTTTTCCAATGACTTAAAGCTATGAACAAAAAAAATGAAATGAGTATCTTGCAAAACCATTTCCACCTTTGGAACCGCTTTACATTCTGTCACTTTACCACCAGATTCAGTGTATTCCATTAGGATTTTATGTGATGGACCAACAGATAGTGCATTACAATGAAACACGATAGGGAAATGTTTATCAGAGATTTTTTTTTTATCATCAAAATAATTAACTTCTAGCAATAAAATCTAGCCGTTGGAAACCATAAAAAAAGAGAGATGCACAGATATGAAAATTTGGACTTAGATGGATATTGATGTAGAAATCATCTTGTCATTATGGCCGATAACCAACATTTACCCAATATATTTCCCTGCCCTTTTGTCATGACCGAACATCACATGGCCAATCTTCCCCTCAAGAAACACACACACAAACGGCAACAAGGAAAAACATCAGTTCCTGATATTGGCCCAGGTAATGCCAATATATGGTGCATCCCTAATAAAAAGCTAACACTTGGTATCCATTCATGGAGAGAAATGGTTTTACTTTCATTTGTTCTACTCTTGGTTCCACGGGAGCTTTAATAGATAGAAGTAACAAAAAAAATAGAAGAAGTTCTGATCACTGTTCAGCAGTAAAATCACTAGCCGGTGTACTGAAGTAACCTGATGGGACAAGTTTTAATTTTAGGTGCAGTATTTACATTTGTACGGTTCCAGCTGTATGCAGAGAAAACATTAGCACTATTAAATCTACTCCAATTAAAAATACTGCAATAAATTCTCACCACTTAAACTTTTCAAATTTTAACATCCATAGCTCCTCTTCCTAAACTATAGTACATGCATGATGATACAAAACAGTCCATGATTTTCACAATCTTTCATTAAAAATCTGAAAAGGATGACATGCGTTTGTATTCAGCTCCCTTTACTTTGATACCCCTAAATAATGTCTAATGCAACCACCTGCTTTCTGATGCCACCTAATTAACAAAGTCTACCTGTAATTTTATTCAAGCATAAATGCAGGTGTTCTGTGAAGACCTCTGAGGTTTACTAGCGAATAAACAGTATCCTGGAGACCAAGGAACACAGCAGACTGGTCAGGGAGGACGATGACAAATTTAAACAGTTTCTACGTCAGGATCCCAAACTTTTAACATCTCGCAGAGCTTCAGTCAATTCTTCATTTGGAAAAGAGCATGGCACAATTGCAAACCTATCTAGACATGGATTTCAACCAAAACTGACAGGAAAAGCAAGGAGTCCCAAGTTTGTTTTATTGTTGGTAATTAATCCAGAGGAAATTCTGTTGGAAATGGAAAATACTTGATCCTGGGGCAGCAAAACAATGACCTTAAGCATATTGTGTCAGGACTTGACAATGATGTTCATGCTCTGTATTTAATCTGATATCGGCCCAGTTAAAGCCAATATATGGTGCATCCCTAATAGAAAGCTCCATGACTATTTGTCATGTAAATTGCAAATGTTTACAAAAAATTCAGTCTCCTTTATCTTTTACTAAATACTCATACATTACTCTGTGTTGGTCAACCACATAAGATCTTAATATAAATTGAACAAAAAAAAAAAAAAAAAAATTTTAAAACTTTAAGAATGCTTGTCACTACACTTGCCAACAAAAATGCCTCTTTGAAGCTATATTAATCAGGGGTGCACCGATTGCAGCTTTTAGGTTGATTGCCCATTACCGATCTTTAAAAAGCTTAACTTGCTGATGCCGATATTGGCCGATACTGATTTATGCGTCTCATATGTTGCTAAATATATAGAAATAAAGTTGCCGAGTTGGCAACAGAGAGATGACTATTAACTGCCTGGTGGGCCAGTCTGTCAGTCAAATCTCTCAAGAGGACGGTGGTTGATTTCTAGACCTTTGCCGAGGTAGATGAGATCGACTTCACATGCAAGTGTCAGAGAATCACCGATCTCCCAAAATTAAGGAAATTAGGGCTGATTTATCGGTGCACCCCTAACGTTAATGTTAGCAACCGATTTTATCCTCTGAAATGATCAAGTAAATTAATTTTTGTAAATAATAAACTTGTTTCTCCATTTCTGGAAACATTTCCAGAAATGTAGTTGTGTCTTTCAGATGGATCTTGTTTTATAAGCCACTAAAGGAAACATTTGTTTCTCTGCTGATGCTCTCTTTAACTTCCACCGGCAGGGTGTCAAAAAGATGGTCCTCCACGATGAGGCCATTCTTCCGCAGCAGCCGGCAGCTTCCCAACTGGATAGGCAGTCTGTCCAGGCAGTTCCCTCTAAGCTCCAGCTGCGTGAGCTGCACCAGTTGACCCACGGTCTCTGGCAGACTGGTGAGCGCGTTGTGGCCTAGACAAAGCACCTTCAGCTTGGTGCATCTGAAGAGAGGTTTGGGCAGGGCTTCCACCTTGTTCGAGTTAATAGCCAGATGCTGGAGGTTGTTGAGGAGGCCCACATCAGGTGGAAGCACTGTGATGGAGTTGTGGGCCACATCCAAGTGTCGCAGCTTGGGAAGAGTAAACAAGGCTGAAGGAAGGGACTCCAGTTTATTGTGAGAAAGGTGGAGAGATTCCAGGGACTTGACGTGACCAATGGATGCTGGGATGGTGATGATTTTGTTGTGCCAGAGCTTTAGGCACGTCAACCTCCTGAGATGCTGGAAGCTGATTATCTCTTCTATAGTTCTGATGTTGTTGGACTTCAAGTCAAGTTCCTGCAGATTGGTCAGACTAAAGATGGCATGAGGGATCCTTTCCAGTTCACAATTGTGCAGCTCTAGCTCAATGAGGCTCGTCATTTTCTTCAGACTGTTCAGCACCAGCAGTTTTGTCCCATCGTTGTGCACCATTAGTCGGAGGAGATGCGGGGAGAGCTCTGTGATGTTCGTCGGCATCTTCGTGAGATTGCTCTTCAGGCATAGCGTCTTCAGATGCCTCAAATCCCTCATGGACTCCAGGCCGATCATTTTGTTGTTTTCCGAGTTCAAGTTCCCCATAAGGTACAGCTCTCTCAGACTCCGCAGCAAGTAGACCCAAGGCGGGATCTCGGCGACGTCCGTGAACTTGACGTGCAGGCGGCGCAGGTGATCCCGTAGGAAGGCAAAACCGGTTTGCTCCACTTTGGCCGGACAGTGGCACAGATGCAGCTCCTGCATGCTAGTCATCTGGGAAACCTTGGCGGAAAATCTCACCTCGGGAATCAGCTCCAGCTTCAGCACTTCCAGGTCTGTAAGGTCAAACACAGCGTTCGGCAGGCCAGACAGCATGAAGAGGTGCAGCTCCTGTTGGTCGTGTGCATTGCGCGTGACATGCTGCTTTAGTTTTTCAAACGTCCACTCGTGATTGAGGCTGATCTCCCTCAACTTGTTTTCGCTGACCTCTGACAGGAAGATGCCAAAGCGCTTGGAGTAAAGCTGATCATACTGGTCGACCATGTGCAGTAGAAACGCAAAGTCGTTCTTGACATCCGGAATGTCACTGAAGCTGCTCTCTTCCCTCACCTTCTCGAAGGAATACTCTTTCAGAGGGCGTCGGAACACCCAGAACAGGGAGTATAGGCATGTCATTCCATAGATTACGATCAACACTATGTATGTAAAGAGCAACTTGTGCAGCATGAAAGCCATGTTGTGTGTACAGTAGAATTTTTTATAGCCTGTTAGCTGTTCTATGTCTGGTTCACAATAATGCTTGAATTCTATTCTAACCAAGGTGGAAGTGTAGGACAGGATCAAAATAAACTTAACAGTTTTGACAGAGGTTTGAGCAACATAGAGCCTGTAAATGAAATCACTGTCTTCCACATGGGCTCGGAACTTTCGCACCTTCTCAAACAGGGCTTTGGCCTGCTCTCCATCCTTTTTATCCAGGATGGTCATGCTGCTTGGGACCTCTGCAATGGGTTTATCTGCAGAGACCTTGACCCCAAGCATTGGTGTGGATGGATTGGTGTCGGGACTTTCATCCTTCCCCTCTAAAGACACCTGCTTTGGTCCTGAGGAACTGCCTGTCAACCTCTGTTTGTTCTCCTCAGAGTCCTCACACGCCGTTTCAGACAAAGCCTTCGTTGTCCAAGGCGACTCAAAACAACGACCCAGAATGGAGACAAAATGCTCAATCTTTGAACTTGTCTTTGGGTATTTAAACCAGAAATTGCTACTGACCATGAGAATAAGGGTGTGAATAAGTGTAAGGTATGGAAAGTATTTGGAAGACCACGGTAAGGCATCATGGTAACACATTTGGTTGATAAAGACATATTGTTGAAAGTCCAGGTTGGTTTTAACCCCTCTCGGTTCAGGTTGGGGATCTGTTTTCTGTTCTGCTGTTCCAGGCTGATGTGTCGTGAGAATACCAGTGATGGCTTTGTTGGACTGCGCCGTAGTACCTGAAGGGATTGTAGGTGTAACAGGGGCTCCAGTGGGTGTTGGAGAGGATCCTTTTTGGGTGGGGTACAGATTAGCTTCTGTTTCTTCAGGACAAGGAAGGCAAGCGACATGGTCCTTGGTGATTTGCATGGTCATTGCAAATATGGCCAACATGAGCATGACCAGGCCCAGGTAGTCCATGAAGACGTCCCACCATGGCTTTAAGATGCGATACGTCGGCTGGATGTCGTTCAGGGATGCAACCTCGGTGAGTGTAAACATTACTGCAATGAAAAAAAAGACTTTATCTTATTTTGATCATAAAATATCTGTTTCTTCATTTAGGTAAAAATTTTACATTTCAGAATCATTGATTCAGATTGGGGATATGGATTGTAGTTGAGTTTTTTATTTTACAAACATTGTCATATTTTAGTATGTTTATCCAAATAGTTAAATCTAAATTAGATATTGAAAATTTTTATAAAAAGCTCACAATTTGCCTTTTTACATTATGCAATTTATCTTTAACATTTAAATATATCTGAATTAGTAAATGTTAACTAAAAATAAGACAACTTAAGATGTTTACACCAAGGCACACAAATCCATCAATACCAATAATCTGAAAGAACAACAAACTATAAGACCAGGGCTGTCTTCACAATGGCCTGGTCACCAGTCAATTTGGAGTCAGACAGATGTAGCAGATCTAGTATCTTGATTGTTTTCTTCCTGAAATTCTTCCTAGCTTTGTTTCCCCCTTAAAAACGTAATGTAGTAGTTTATGTGCTCAAGCTTCACTCCTGGAATGATTTTTGTTGCCATTAAATGCTGTTAAATACATTTATTAACACTTAACCTTTGCCTGAGAGCAGGAAGTTTGCAAAGCCAAAGAGATGAATGGAATAAAACCACAATACCAAAGAGAAGAGGTCAAAGAGAAAACAGAGGCTGTTTGCATTGATTGTGATAATTATAGTAATAACTGCCAAATAAAGTGAAAGTAGCTTAAATTACAAACAAGGCACAGTGAAAACATTGAGAATGAGTTACAACATGTTTCTACAAACACAAAAACACCTTAATTCCCTTGTCACTGGTCATAATGTCCCGGTATAAACATTCTGAAAGCTTAGACCTGCACGTCATGACTATTCTTTTAGACACAAAAGAAGGAAGTTATTAAAAAAATATTCAATGCAAGTTTCTGGTGAAAGCAAGCTTAAACTCTGGTCCATTTAACAGCAGAATAAGAAAAGTGAAGTGCCACACTGTTGCTTCCTTGCCCTAGCTGCTGGAGTCTTATTTCATCTGAGCGAAACAGGCTGTAAATGAGTAACCGATGGCACCGCTGAGTAGGAGTCTGCGCCATAATTGCACTATGGTCTGCTGCACTGAACTTTCACTTCCTGTCACCAAGTTTTTCAGTCCTACTTCACAACGTTTAAGTGTTGGGTCACGATTTTGCTGAATCCAGACACGTTACAAAGTCTTACCCAAAACCCACACCCTCCACCCCAAACTCCTCTCCTCTGATCCACTCAGCCATTTGGCTCACATGTTTCATTTACTGAATGCCTGAAAGTCGATCCTAATTTAGTTATCGAGGCATGTTCACTATCCTCATAGTATTTTTCCTTTAGATTAGTTTGTGTGATTTTTTTTATTTTTTTATGTCAAATCAAAACTAAATCTCTCTGTAACTTTATAGTCATGTAGCTTTAATTGTATGTCTATGTAATTACCTTAACCTTAGCAAGTACAGCATTTTTTAGAGCCAACAGCTTAACGTCATGTAGCCTATAAGCTCTTCTGGATGAGTGTCGCAAATTATCATCATTCCTCTTCCACTGTGAAGACACACACAGGCTGATACATATGCTTCTAATACCAAGACTTTGGTTAGAGGTGTTCTGGCACCTCCTAGTGGTCAGACTAGACTGAATTATATGTGGCTCATGAAAGCAGCACTAGGGAGACAAAAATAAGATTTAGTTGATCATACCAACTAAATTTACCATATCTGAGGCAGGCTGGGCAATAAAAAAAAATATTTATACCAGCTGACAGATGTATTTTACGACTGATATACAGGACAGACATGATGTGAAGAAGATTATAAAAGTAAAGTAATTTGGAATTTTGGGTTTGAAGCCTTTTTGACACAGTAGGCAAAACAGAGAATGTGGACAAGTAGCAGTAGCATAAATTTGTAATTAACACATAATTTGGGGACAGCTATAGAAATTATAAACTCTGCATGCACGTTCCATAAATAATAAATATTTTAGATTATTGACAAGTAATTGTGAGTAATTAAGACTACATACATGAATACAATATTTCCTTATGGTTAAACAGGGGACGCAAGCCGACTGGAAAAGCGATGTAGTAGTAAAGCATTTAGCTTTATTTGAAAAAGCAGTGGCTGTTGGAAAGCTCTTAATTCTTAAGCTCAATTTCTAATAAAGACTCCTTATTACAAAAAAGGGACAGGAGCCTCTGGGACTCCTGTCTGTGACAGAGTGATTCTGTAGTGTAATAATGAAAACTGTCGTTTAAAAAAAAACATCTGTTCTTGTTCACAAGGGATAGTAGTCCTGGGACTCCAGGAAAGGGATTTTCCAGTCAACAACAAGGGCGATGACAAAGCACTACTTGTTCTAAAACATATGTTGTAAATGTTTCAAAGATTTGCCTGCACAATAGCAGTAGCAATTAAAATATCAAAGACTGAAGTGTTTTTCCTTGAAATGTTTGTCGCTAATTAAGATTCTACCTAAATTGCAAAACTTAAAAGAACTCCTAACCGGTGCCATCGGTTAGGTCGGCACCTAACCGATGGCACCGTATCTTTTCTATCCGATTAATAGATTAACACAATTAAATATGAGTGACTGTAAAGAGTTAATGCAAGATAGAGGTATATTGTGTATTTTTCGCTCTTCTAGGGCTTCAGAACTGTGGTTGCTGACTCAGTCAAATCCTGAATAAACTGCAGAGATCACTGATGTCAACAACTTGTTCTTTTTTTTTTTTTTTTACTATGACATGTTGAAACACTTGATGCTTTCAAGACCTGTCCTCCACCACCTGAGAACAGGGGGAATTGAATTTGCCAGCAGGAGAAGTCCTGGCATTACTCTTCCTCAGGCCACATGTTGTCAGGCCTGGATTGTGAGTATAAACTGGAGCCAGATCACTAGTTTGTTTCATCCAATTTAAAGACACTGCGCAGTGGTACAAATTTATTCAAACACTGATTATAAAACATTGTTGTGTAAAGTTGTGCAGATTTCCCCTACAAGATTTTATTTCAATAAAGTTTTTTTTAAGAAGCACACTTATAGTAAAAGACCCAAGTCTGCTTTGTGTGCATTTGAATTAATGTCATCAGAAGTACCACAAAAAAAAGACAGATCAGCTGATTCTGCAAGCCAAAAGCTTCAACTAGCTTTGAATTAAAGTTGGACCAACCTGATATGTTTGACCCTAGTGTCCCCAAAGCCCTTAGTGAACTCAGCCAGAGACAAAGCTGAAATAAAAGTTAGCAGTTATGATCACGTTTAGAAATTAAACTGGTACCAATTTACCTTTGAATTTTTTCTTCTGATTGGTATCTAGCATATTTGGCAGGGATGCACTGGTTGCAGTTTTCCCGCCGATCACCAACCTTTAAAAAGCTTGACTCACTGATTTCAATTTTGACTGATACTATTATTTTTTTTTGTCTAAAAAGTTGATAAATATAACAACAAAGTTGCTGAGTTTCCAACAATGCTGTGATTATTTTAATTGCACATGTGCAGACATGACCTGGTGGCTGGGTCTGCCTCTTTCTCTCTGACTGCAGAGCAAAAGGGGACACTAGTTAATTTTCAGACGTTGATTGAGATAGACAAGATCGGTTGATAAAATAGGTTTCACATGATTGATCCAAACACTAATATTATAAAATTAATGTCAATTCATCTGTGAACTCCCAATAGTTACAGGATTTTCTAGAACAAGTGGCACTGCATGCAGTTAAAATTCCTACCCTAACTCTAACCCTTCAATTGCCAGGTGATGGGATTTCTTTCCAACTTCTGCACTGTAGAGTTGACTGATGGTAAAGGTACAGCTTATATTGCAGATGCATGTGGCCAACTGGTGGGATTGAGATCAATAGGAGTCTATTTGACGGGCAATCATTTCAGCCACATAACAAGAGCCAAACCATTCCTGCAAGAAACAAGATCTTTATATGTGACCTTTCCAGTCTGCCCTGGTCCTCTTCATAAACCCTTTGCATGTGTTTTATTGTTGCCAAATTTACAACTCAAAAGGGTTTCTTGCAGCTATACAAGTAAAAGGATGGAGAAAATGGAGGCTTCTAGGCTTTCCCTGGCCGATGTCAATTTTTGGTTTTCTATTATGTTCTCTGACGTAAAGTTTTTCTTCCCTAAGGAAGAGAACATTAAAATCTTTAAAATATCTCAGAGAGGTTCCCTCTATCCATTTGCCCAGTAGCTGGAAGCAACAGTGCAAGTTTGTAAACTAACATTATTGACTGAACAGATCTGACATGCTTCATGATCAACTTTCAATTCTCATTGTGTCTTAGCAAGTGGCGGGTGTGCCTAGAAAAAGGCGGAACAAACCTTCTTGGTTAACCTTTTAAGAAACAACAAAAAGACAATGAGCAAAAGTGCAGCTTCCACGTGACAGTAGCGGGACAGCAAGTCAAGTTCAGAGATAAACTGTAACTTCTAAGATGGCTACCAGCGAGTGTATGCCGCTGTACATCACGAGGCATTTTTCTACACATCATTTTCATGTCCTAAAAGAAAATTTTATTGTTTTTTCCATGCTTTGTTGATGGAAAAACTTGACCGGCCGGTTTTTGAACCCCGCAGTTTTACCCCTCACTCTGCCTCAGAAGGTCAGGTGACTTGATTAGACATGTTAAAGTGAAGCGTCACTATGTATTTTCGGCCTTAATAAATCAGTTATGTCACTGAAACATACTTTATTTAAGTTTATATGTTTTTGTAGAGGGAAATACACTTACTGCCAACGTTATCTCAGTCCAAGTGTTTCTTCCTCACTCTGCATGCCACTTTCCAGCCGCTCCTCAGGTGCGTGGTTAACCTAATTTCTAAGCCCTGTTAATAACAGCGTTCGCAGAGGCAATGACGCCGCTGAGAGAAGCAGGGTCCTGGGGAAGGTTTGTTCGTGCCCGTGGTATTTGCCTGCTGCTAGTCCTCATGCCTAGACGTACATGAGCTTTTTGTCGGTGTATTAGATAATATAAGCAGGTAGCCTGCCCAAGCAATGTATTTCTCAGAAGAAGTCTGATCCAATATGGAGCCGCGCTCAGTGCTGTTTGTGGGTTTAACAAGCCTTTCCTATTGGTCGACTAGATAAGAGCAAGTTCCAGTAGTCGCCGCCTACTAGTTATCAAATGCTGCATTTACTGACCATGGGGGGAAAAGAAGGGGCAATTTCTGAACAATCATTACAAAGCAACAAATCTCTGTGCTAAAATTAATACAATTTAAATTAAGATTACAAACATAAAAAGGATAAGTGAGAGGATCCAAAATCTGTTTTAGGAAATTCGAGAAATAGCCTATACCAGACCATGGAACCATGAGCAAAAAAGTGTTTTGAACACAACGTAACGAACAGGGCGCTTTATTCTTCGAGGAACATAATTGTAAGGAGTTTGATAATTTATCTGGTAAGTCTGCGGAAAAAAGCTAACCTCATAGTAAGTTCAAAAAGTAGATGAATGATAAACCGACCGAGAAACAGATTCAATAAAAATTGAGGTCTTTTCTATATGTATAATTCGCTTTCCCCTCTAGGACATGAACGCAGCATCATATTCCTCCTCTTGTAAGACTTTTGTGCAAAATCTCCTAACTCAGAAATAACAGACTGTTTTAAGTTGTATTTTCTTTCTGTCTTTTTTTTTTCTCCCCTTATTTTTTGTTTGCTGCAGCATAACTTCCAGTTCTTTCTGGTTTTGGTTGATGATGCACTGGGCGGAGGAAGTGTCTTCTCAGTTGCAAGCCAAACAGGTTTCAACCGGTACCGGGCTGCTGCCTGCTGCCAGTCTGCTTTCTCTCACTCTGCCCCTGTAGACTGCAGTGGGAGAACTGAGAAGGGGAAGAAAAGAATGACGAAAGAAAAGTAGAAGCTAGACTCAGCATGTGAGATCACACGCTGAGGTGGTTGATGAGCCTTTGGGGTGAATAACTATCTAGACAAAGGAGATGCAGTATTCTGCATACAATATTTATATACAATTTGTGTTAAAAAAAGACTTCTACTGTCTGACATTCAATCAAGTAAACTTCTCCTGTTTTAGCTCCATAAGGATTACCAATGTTGTTTCTATTTGCAAAGAATGAGAGATAATTTAATAGTACAATTTTAAAGCAACATCAGAAATGATCAGATTTCCTTAGTCTTTGGAGAACTACACGTTAAACTGAAACCTTTTGCTTATCCTCCACAAGTTTCCTGGAATTTTGTCCCTTTCTTCTTCACAGAACTGTTGTTACTGAGTCAATGTTGTGGGCCGCTTTGCTCACACACCCTTTTAGCCCTACCCACAGTTTCTGTGGCGTTGAGATAAGGACTTTGCGATGGCCATCAAAAAACACATTTAATTGTGCATTAGCAATTTTGTAACAAATTTTGCTGTATGCTTCAGATCATTGTTGATTCGAAAGATCGGTTTAAGTTCGTGGTTGACCTCTCAAGATGTTGACAGAGTATTTTGACATAGTAGTATTTCCTCTTGACACCATCTATTGTGTGAAATACCTGCCTGCAGCAAAACTGTTCTACAAAAAAACACCATTCCCCCGTTCTTCACTGTTGAGGTGTTGCTCTCAGGCTTGCAGTCTTTTCCCATTTTCCTCCAAAGGTAATGATGGTTATTATGGCCAAACACTTCCACATGTCTCCACAAATTAAGCGATTTGTCCATGAGTGCATTTAAGTAAGGTAACATGGACTTTTTTTTGTTTTGTGTATTTTACGTTGGTACACACATTTCACACCACACATATTGATGGGACCTCTCTCCTTCCTGCATGCATCAAAGAAACTTTTGCAGTTGGGCCCAGTGTTTCCTCAGGATTAAGTGCCACTTTCTTCTCAGAAGTGAATTACTTGTTAATCAAACAAAAACATGTAAATTCAAGAAATGTTACGTTGAAGCTTTAAATTTTTCCTCACATTGGCGCTCTAATCTGTCAGCAACATATTGCACCACATCTTTTACATAATCTTAATTTGGTTAATGACTTGCACCTGAAGCATACCAGCAATGCTGCAGACTGATTGCTTAAAGAATAAATACAGCACAAAAACTGAGAAATGTGCTTCCTTGCCAAATATTTTAACCTTAGTGTTATTTTGGTTCTGAGATGGAGGGTCCACCTTGTCTCTTACCTAATGACCTCTGGAGATGCCAGTACCACCACCACAACTGTTTTCACAGATTCATTTATTTACAACAACTTCACATCAAATCATCCGTTTTCAATTGTTTTATTGTTTACAGATTTTTCCTGTCACAATTTTGCTGTTTATCACTGTCAAATATACAGATATATATATATATATATTTTGCAGTTATATAGTTAATAAATGATGTATAGTATGTAATTTAAATATAAATTTGGTAATGACTTTAGAGCACAGGTGTCAAACTAAAGGTTCTGGAGGGCCACTACCCTGCAACTTTTAGATGTGACTCTGCTGCACCACCCTTATAATTAGGTCATTAGCAAGGCGCTGGAGAACTTATCTACACAAGGAGGTAATTAAGCCATTTAATTCCAGTGTTTTGTCCCTGTGGCACATCTAAAAACTGAAGGACAGTGGCCCTTGAGGACTGGAGTTTGACACCCCTGCTTTAGAGTGACATCAGTGGTATTAACACAAAAGTACTTCCTGAAAAACGAAAGTGTACATAATACAAATTGCTAAATTTCAAAGTACAGTGGTTTTCTTACCACTTGTTTTCAAGCTAAATGCATTCTTGTTTATGTATAAATACAGTATTGTCATATAAAACATAATTTTATTGACTCAGACAATGTCTTGTTCTTGATCTATTAATATTACTCTATATATTTCTGTGTAAGTGGATGTTTTTCTTTGTTTTGTTTTTACTTATTAAAAGGTACAATATGCATGTTCTCTTTTATATGACTCAAAACGAATAAAGCAACAAATAAATAATTGCATTAGTTCCTAAGCATGTTATCAAGTGCAGCAGAAGTCTGATAGCCACCCATTCATTCCAGTCAGGTGTGTGTCGTCAGGGAAACATCCACAACATGCAGGACACTGAGGGACCAGGCCTGGGGGCCACGGCTTTATGGGGACTGTGACGAGACATGTGATTGGTGGAGTGAACCAGATGAAGAAGTAAAGAATGTAATCATTTGGTTTTTTCTTCAAACAGTGAGGTGGAGGTTAAACCATTCTGGGTTTCCTTTTTAGGACACAGACTTTTCAAAAGCCACAGAACTGCTGGCAGCCAGATGAGTGTGTTGGCAATCAGACCACCAAGGTAGAAGCATAAGAAAGAAGAAACTTGGGGTGAGGGGAACAGGAAGTAACACACAGACATTCTCACACGATATAGACACTCGCAGTTCTTTAGCTGCACATCAGAAAGCACAAACCAACAACAGCCCTAAACAAACATACTTGTTGCTATGGGAGCTGCTAAAATTTTCTGTTTGCACAGAAAAACCCACAGGTCCCACTCTCACACACTCTTGTACTTTTGCTTTTTGAGCATTTCTAAAAAGTTCTGACAGAATAAAGAATTCATGTGGCAGAGACCTGCAAGAACAGCTTCCTAAAACAAGGGCAATGGTATGCTTAGCTGGCAGGTCTCTTTTGTCTTGTTGTGACTTGAAGGCATTCTCACCGCTGACGTTTGCACAGACATGTCTGTCTAGCACGTTTTGCTTTGGCAACGTTCCTGGAAAGTCTGGTTTATCAGAACCTCTTTATGCTTTTTAAGAACATCCGTTCACATTTGTGAACTTTAACTTGAATGCCAAATATAAAGGCCTTGCAAAAGTGTTTACGTCCCTTCAACCTTTTTATTATATTTATTTTTGTTATGTCAGAAGAACAGGCTTAGAAATTATTTTGGGGGGAATTTTATGTGGACCAAATTACCCATCATTGTGAAGTAGAAGGAAAATATTACATAGTTTTGCTAAATTTTCACAAACACTATTTTGAAAAGTGTACTGTATATTTGTAACCCTGACCTCTTTGCTCTGATGTACCTGAATAAAATGCAGAAGTTGGGGACACTTTTCTTCTGCAGCGACAGTGACGCTGGTCAAAGTTAAAAGAAAAAAATTGAGAGATTGTGGGAAGGTGAACCTTCCAGCAGGCAATGCCAGTAAAGATGGGTACAGTAAAATGAGTCAGATTACAACGATTTCACAGATTAGTAGCCCAGTCAAAGTTCAGATTTAAATTTAAAGTCTCTTGCAAGAATTTGAATTTATTGCACTCCATTTAATCTGATTTAGGTTGACCGATTTTTAAAGAAGAATTGCCAGGATTTCAGTCAGACGTGCCAAATTGGTAAAGGAATATCCCTAAACACTTTCAGCTGTGACTGCAGCAAACATTGTTCTGCAAAGTATTAAATCAGATTTGTCTGGTAAAAAAAAAATTAAACTGTATTTTATTTTTCTTCCACATCCCTATTTTGTGTTGGCCAGTCACATAAAATACTAACAAAATGGGGAAAAGTTTGCGGCTGTCATATGACAAATGTAAAAAAAAAAAAAAAAAAGAAAGAAAAAAATTAAAGGTAGTGAACAATTTTGCTTAGCATTGTATAACTTGAGCTTTTTCCAAACCACAGAATTTGCCTCCGGGCAGGAATTAAGTAAGGGTGCATGTACACAAATCTGTTCTTGTTTGGCGCCACCTGCTGTCGTCTATATGCACAAAAACAAGTATTGCGTAATGTTGATAAACCAGTTAAAATTTCTTTGTTATTTTCAAATTAGAAAGGAAAAGAAGGATGGAAGCAATTCAATAAATGGTTGACTTGTGTTAGGATTAGTGATTTTCCAACCAGGTCAGAGGAATGAAGGAACCGTAGAGTCACAGACTGGCACTGAGTCATGGGCATAAACAGACACAGATGGCTATTCTATTTTTATTTTTACTTGAAGGAAAAAAGAAAATAGTGTTTACATTTTTGAAGAATTTCTTATTTGGATATCTAATTCTTCTCTAAAGCATTGCATGTGTTTGACTTGTCTGCCTGTATGGCAATTTAAGTTGCAAGCCATGATTAATGAGGTCTGGCTTTGTTCTGTTAAAAGAATCAGTGAGAAAGACCACCAGCATCTGACAGAGGTTTTCAGACATCTGGGGTCTTTTTGCAGTGTAGATGTCAGAAAATCACAAATCAAACTGTAAAAAAAGTACACTAAAAATATTTAAAGAACAAAGCCTGTGAATTTTTATATAATAGAATAGTATTTGGTTCATTTAATTTTGTTTTTATGTCACCAATTTAGAGCAAGTCATCTCAAGACACTAAAAAAACAAACAAATCAAATCACATCTAGTCATACCCAGTCCAATAAAATAAAAAAATTATTCCATTCAATTCCATTCAGTCCATTCCATTCAATCTGTATCCAATAGATACTGATTCAAGCACAAGCAATCTAATTCCATGCAACTATCAACACGATGTTCCAATTCAGTAGCAGCACCAAAAGACAATTAATTGCATAATGTAAGAGTAAAAGTGAAATGTGCTGAAAAAAGCACAGTTTGAATTCATTTAGGAAATCAAAAAAAAATTGGTAATAAGAATGCATAATGGATAGCTTGTCTCCATGGGCAGTGTCTAAAAAATATTTTATGTTAATTCTGAATAAATACATAAACAAATGTTCAAATTAGTTGTCAAATTGATTTTTTTAATTAATATGTTTCTGCACTTTTTCTAGAACAAAAACCAAGCAGACGAACAAATTTTGTACCTATAGGTTTGATATATATTGTCAAACCTATAACTTTTTGTATTATTGTTTACAAAATCTATAATGGAACGTACCAATGTAAAATATGTAAATTACTGAAGGAGTAGCCCGTACAATTCAGAATGAATTCTGAGAAGTGAAAAGTGAGAAGGTTTAAATTAATAGTAAAATGCTAAATCAATTTTCTTGATGACGTTAGTGTAGGCGAATCTAAAATTACAGGGATTATATTTGCTCTCGTAGGCAAGTTAGCGGCGTGTCATGAAAAACAAAATGTAATTTGTTCTCTTTGACACGCCGTAGTTTGACTGCCACGTGACGGGAACAGCTTATAAATATAGGTGCGCCGTCCATTCGCCTCTTTGACTAAAGGAAAGAGCGAAGAGTAACATGGCGTCAACGAGTCGGTGCGTAACCACTTTTTCCAACTATGTAGCGGTTTTGTTTTTTTCATAAACGCTTTCAAGATGTCTTGTGGTGAACATATACATTGTTAGCTTTGGAATAGGAATAACGTATTGTGCTCGTTCTACGAATAAGCCGCTCCTTTCACTACCGTTAGATTTGTTGGGTCTATTGTGCTTGGTGACAGCTAGTTAGCTCACGGGGTCGTCAGTAGATGCTGCCAGAAGTCGTTGTTGTCTCGCCGCTGCGCTCACATTAGGCTGCTTTTAAATCTACTTTCTCCTGTGTTAAGGTGTTATATTAAATTATATTAAAATGAAATAAAAGGTTTAAGCTGTCTATGGATTCCGATTACACTATACAATCCAGACATCTGTAAACAAGCAGGCTATTGTCAACAACTCAACGCTTCTTATTGTTCGTACAGTCTAGGACCAGCTAATGTTATCTGCTGGGAATTAGTTAAATTATATTCTGAAAAAAATCACCTCGCGGTTCTCATTTCCTTGAATTGGACGCAAAAACATCAAATTAAGGACAGTTAAACTGCTACTCAGCGTATCGACATGCTTATGATCGAGCTTGACCTTTGCTGTAATGACATCTTATTATCTACCTATGGATTCACTTCTAAGCGTCCACTGTGTTTAAGTCTGTCTGCTTCTACCGCTTTGCTCCCTTTACAAGCCGGGCCCCTAAGCTGATCTCATCAAGGTATGCTCTGTCCTCTGTGTAAACGGGAAGTGAGAGTGAATGTAAAACGGAGAACGGAAAGTTTCTATTTGTAAATTATACTGACAGTAAAAAGGGATTTCATGCTCTCTCAGTTTCGCAGGTTTTCATTTGGTGTCAATAATTTGGTCCTTTTATGGTCATAACATTCTGCACAGAAACAGCCTTATAATTCAGTTCTGTAAGGATGCATGCTACCAGGTTATGCTAATCAATGCATTGATTAACTGATCATCTTTAAAGATTAGTTCCTCTGTGAAAGCTGACATTTTGAGTTTGCTATAAAAAGAAATGTTGACTTAATTCCCGGTAGACTTAGTGTTGTTTATTTCTTGCTGAACGATTATTGTCAGGACTTAGAAGATGGACTGAACACAAACCAAGTCTTGTAGAACAAAGTTCTTCATGCAGAGGAGACCATAATGGAACCGCTTTGAAAGAAAACCTGCTATAAAACCAGCTCACAGCTACGGTGATGGTCGGGACTCTCTCTGCAACAATCATTGCAACTTGTAGTCGACTGTACCACAGTATGTGGGAGTCAGGTGTGATTGGTAACTCAGTTACCTGAGATTTTAAGACCAGGTTAAGGGCTGGAGGATCTCTTTGATTCTTCATGTCAGTTCCTACTACAGGAAGCAGACCTGCTTTCATCTGGCTTTGTCAACAGTCTCACTGTTTGCTTTCGCAGTGGAGAATCTCTGGCCTTACCCAAAGTTCAGTGTCCCAACCATCCTGATGCGTTACTGGTGGAGGACTACAGAGCAGGCGACATGATTTGTCCTGAATGTGGCCTTGTTGTTGGTGAGTATTTACATGACGCATGTTGAGAATACACCTTCACTAAATCTCTTCCGTCAGTTTAAACCTCACTTTATGTGTTTCGTCTGTCATTATGACTCACCTTTTTGAAATGCTATGGGATTACAAATCATAATCCATCAAAAGGCTTAAAATAACTTGCATGTAGCTATTATTTTGATTAAATGTGAAGACTGCAGAGAAACTATGACTAAGTTCACTGTGTGATGCTGCAGTAGCTGACGATGCGGATCAGCGCACGTACCTTAAAGCAACACCATTAAAGCATTTTGGTGACTGGAGCTGATCTGAAGGACAGCCACACTGCGGTGTGTTTTAAATCTTTTGTATGACAGTGTGTTGACAAGTTCTGATTATCCTACTGTCAATTAGCGACATTTAAAAATTTCTGAGCAGCATCGCTTCTGAACGGCAGTTATGTGTTAAGCAAATAAGACAGATCCTAATTGTTTTGGGACATTAATAATTGAACTTGCATATATTTTAAAATGTGTACAATCAATATGTTAGAATAGTTGCAACTGTCCACATTGATACATCTATAAGCTGTTATCAGTTTGTCAATCAAGTGTATTTGTATAATACATTTAAGCAACATGGCAAAGTATGTTACAATAAACATTATATTTTGATGAATGCCATCACCAAAATCATACACATGCACTATGTTGGTCAATGTTTCATTTCTTATGGTTCGTTTTTAGTTGTTTTTGTCTCTTTTTCAGTTTTCTGGAAGTTTGTTCTAGATGTGTGGTGCATAGATGCTGAATGCTGCTTTTCTATGTTTGGTTCTGGTTCTGGCTGGAGAGCAGAACCAGACCCTGAAGACTGGAAGGTTGCTATGACAACAGCAGATCTTTAATGTATTGTGGTGTTAAGCCGTTCAGTGATTTATAAACTAACAATAGTGTTTTAAAGTGCTAAGGTTTTCATAAGCACATGCAGAATATCCTATTGGCATGCGAAGCATAAAGACCTAAAACTTGGGATTTGTGAGTTTCAATGCAAACACTGAAATTGGGATGATGATATATTTGCAATGTATATTATTTGAATTCGTATGAAGATGAGGCTTAACATGAATATATACGAGTTCATGAGTTCATGTTTGTAACATGAGTTTTAGACAGTTCAGACTGTGTCTAAACAATCTGAACTGTTTACACAAGTTCAGATTGTTTCATATGTACAATACATATTTGTATCTAGTGAGACCTGTGCACATTTTGACATATTTCTAATAAACACAACTATAATTTCTTTCTCTTTATCACAACCACTGATATCCAAAAGCAGCAGACATGATGAGGCGCAGCGTCCTTGGAGCTGACACATTCTTCATATGTTTGTGCATCGCCTTCATTTTCTCCAGTAATATTGGATTGTTTTGCTTTTTAATAAATGTCACATTTTGAAACAGATGTTCGAATTAGTTTAATATACAAAAAAAAAAAAAAGAAGAATGTCATTGTTGGCATTTTCTGCAGCTGATGGCTTTATTCAGAGTATAAACGTTTTGTGTTTAAGGTGAGGTCTGAAGTGTAGCACATCCAGCCCAAACATCTCAGAGCCGCTGGGAACGTTGGGAACGCTGGGTTCTCCGGTAATGAGCCCCTCAGCACTGGGCAGGTCAGGTGGGAGAAGATGAAAGCTCAGCTTCTAGCTTGCATTTCTGCCACAGGCCTCTGAGGAGATGATGACTGCCACTCCCAGTCTGCGACTCACAGCTGAACTGTATTTGGGTCTTTTAGTTTCTGTGAGTCACCTGAAGAGAAAACGATGACCTGTTTGGACTGGTCTGTCTGATGTGGCTCCGATGTCTCTAGATGGTTTAATAACTCGCTGCTGCTGTGTTGTGACTCTGAAATAGACTTCAGCTTCACCTCGATCCGACTAGAATGAAACCTGAACATCATCAGAGATCTGGGCTGACACCAGACTGTGTGCATGAGGCAACAGCATCCAGAATATTACACCATCCTCTAATTATCCCACAGGGATGGAATATGACAAACAGTGGGATCATCATCATCATCGTCGTCTTCGTCTTCTCTCTGGAATTTGGCTTTGGTCTGTTGACAGACTCAGTTTCCTGTCAAATTTAACAGGATAGAAAGTCCTGAGAGCAGCGGTCAGCATCTGGACACAAACAGCATCAGATGTTTCAGATCTGTATGTGGAGAATTGAGTGATTAGATAGAGACGTCTTCATTTCTAGATGCATTGGAATGAAACCTTGTTGGGTTTTCATCCACTAAATAAGCTCCTGCTGTGGCCAAGAACTGAAAGGATTTTTTTAGGTTTTGAAGGTTAAGAGCTCCTTTAGCTTTTTTTTTATTGATGGCTTGTTTACAGATACTAAACAGGAAGTAAGACTGGATGAAAGAGCAACTTGTTTACACAAACTGTTTTTTTTTTCCAGAATGCTGTATTTTGTTGTTGAGTTGTTTGGTTGATGCAGGTTGTCTGTCTCCAGGTGACCGTGTGATCGACGTGGGCTCCGAGTGGAGGACGTTTTCTAATGAGAAGGCTCTCAAAGATCCATCCAGAGTGGGAGACGCCCAGAACCCCCTGCTCAACGGAGGAGACCTGACCACCATGATCAGCAGGGTGAGCCGCAGTCCAAATCAAAGCGTCTCCATCAGGGTTGCCTACGGATGAACCGAAAAATTGACCCAGTTTCCTTCACTTTGGGTGATTGGAGATCAGCCTATACTTAAATAGAGAACCGATCTTATCCTCCGATTTTATCTGAGTCTGAAAAAGTCTGCAAATCGTCTGAAAATCCAGGGATGGTTGACAATAGTCAACATGCTGTTGCCAAGTTAGCAACTTTGTTGCTTTATTTACTGACGTTTTAGACAAAAAACAACAACAAAAAAAATCAGTATTGGCCAAAATCCTAACCAGCAGCTGAGGCGTTTGGATCGGTGCGCTCCTCTCTCTGCCTGACGGTTCCTCCTGGTTGAAACTCAAGCGGCCGTCAGCCGTCGGCTCCTCGCTGCGGTCCGATGTGTGAGTTGCGCGTTTCTGTTGACATGTTGAAAGCGTTTCCTCCACAGGGAACGGGCGCGGCCAGCTTCGACGAGTTTGGCAACTCAAAGTACCAGAACCGGCGGACCATGAGCAGCTCTGACCGGGCCATGCTGAACGCCTTCAAAGAGATCAGCACCATGGCGGATCGCATCAACCTGCCGAGAAACATTGTAGTAAGTTCAGAGACAGGAGATGGATTCCTCAACCCGGTTGGTTGGTTTGGAACCGGTCTTCTTCTCGCCTTGAATGTCACATCGATCCATTTTAACGTTTCCATGTTGAACATTTTTACTTTAACTGGTCCGTTTGGCTTCTCAGGACAGAACGAACAACCTGTTCAAGCAGGTTTATGAGCAGAAGAGTCTGAAGGGGCGAGCCAACGACGCCATCGCCTCAGCCTGCCTTTACATCGCCTGCAGACAAGAGGGCGTACCAAGGACATTTAAAGGTCAGACTTGTTTTCTCTATCTGGTCTAAATAAAGCTGATTTTCTCTTAGCTTTATAGTGAAATATGGCTGGCTGATATGCATGAAAAACATGCAACTACACAAGCGCCTCATATCTGAAATGCAGCCAGCCTGGTGGCATCACCTTTCCTCTTTAATCCAGTTTTCCCTTCAGCCTGTTTTTTTATATTTAAGCAGTTATGAGGCACGGCAGGAAAACCTGAAGCTACTGCTGTACAAGTTACTCAACAGGTTGTTGCTAGGCAACCAAAGAGTGAATGAGTTGATGCCACCAGCCTTGCTGATTTAGCTGTGAGAGGTTGAAGTAAGGCCTTTCCTCTGCCTACATCCCCCAGAATGCTGTTCAGTGCTGGATCAGAGTTCAGTGAATTTTCTATATATTGAATATTCTATCAGATGTATTATCTATAATATCTATTGTGATATATATGGTCATTGATTTACTGTCCAGCCTTACTGTGAAAGCTGCTGTTATGGGAACAAATAATCCCATTTTTAACCAAGAATGTATCCTATGTAGGTCATTTTCTTTACAGTTGAGAAACAGACTGAATCAGGACTAAATCATCATGTGGTCTCTTCCAGAGATCTGCGCCGTCTCCAGGATCTCAAAGAAGGAGATCGGCAGGTGCTTCAAGCTGATCCTGAAGGCTCTGGAGACCAGCGTGGACCTCATCACCACCGGAGACTTCATGTCCCGCTTCTGCTCCAACCTGGGCCTGCCAAAGCAGGTGCAAATGGCTGCCACCTTCATCGCCAGGAAAGCCGTGGAGCTGGACCTGGTGCCCGGCAGGAGCCCCATCTCGGTGGCCGCTGCAGCCATCTACATGGCCTCCCAGGCCTCCGCTGAGAAGAAGACCCAGAAAGGTGAGAGGTTCTGTGGAAACACTGCTAGCTCTCACCAGCTGTGTTTCCATCGCAAAACTTTGTTAAAAACACAATTTCGCAATTGCGGTGTTTCCATTAAGTAAGAAATTAAATGAACGTCACACATGAATAAGTTTGTTCAAGACATTAAAAATCATGACAGGGACAAATGTTATCAGTTACATGAGATATATTCATAATTCAGAGGAAACACTGGCATCTTATTCAGGCATTAGAGCAGCTACATGCGCAGCATTTTGGGGAAATTAGTCTATAGTTTTACAGAAGAGTTATAGATTCAACATGTACAAATGACACACAACCTCTCATGAGGTGGCGCTGTGGAGCCCTGGTGGAGTCGACTGAACTTTGTCTAAAAAAAAAAAACCCCACAAGAACAAAAATGTATGTTATGTAGCAGATAATCCTTCCTTAAGGCTGCAGCATATAACTTCTATAGAAAGTTTTTTTATTCTTTTATATATTTGTTCAAATTGTCACTATGTTGCGACACTGACATTATAACATGAAATGGATATTTAGCTCCTACTGCCAGCTGCAGACATACACTGCTCTCATAAACGGCCAATCAGAGCCAGGGGGTGAGGCTTAGCGCTGCTCACCCCCTTACTCCTTGCAACAAATTTTGCCAGGAATGCTAAGGCTAGTTAACATGTCCACCGATGATGGTGGATAGACAGTTTTCCTGGAGCGGTAAGTTGCTTCTCTGCCACTAGCACATTTAACAGCGACTACATGAGCTTGATTGACAGCACTAAGATCCTCCTCCTGACTTTGATTGGTTGGTTTTGACCAGGAACAGTGCATTTCTGAAGATAACTCGAGGAGGTGGAGGAGCTTGATTATTTTCATAGATTTATCTGTCTCATATTATCCTTTAATAACATGGTGATAGTTTGTTAAATATGTAAACATTTTCTACATGCTTCAAGTTTTTTGCTTGTTTTTTCCCCTCAGAAATCGGCGATATCGCTGGCGTTGCCGACGTCACCATCAGACAGTCCTACCGACTCATCTATCCACGTGCAGCAGAACTTTTCCCTCCAGACTTTAAGTTTGACACGCCTGTTGATAAACTGCCTCAACTGTGAACTAGACTCTGCCTACTCATTGCTGAAGTTTCTCTGCTGTACATTTTTCTGTTGGTTTAGAGTTTGAATATTCTTTGGTCGTGCTCCAAACAAGCAGCCTTCATGGAGGCACTGTGACAGGAATACAGCAGACACACATTCCAGAGCTTGAATAAACAGCTTGCAGACTGTACTTGCAGTATTTCATTTGACTGTATATACTGTACCATGTATATATGTCCAAGCGGGAAAACGTTAACTTGACGCTTTGCAATTTTAGGCTCTTTTCATATTGTATACACAAAGCATTTGTTTTGTAGAAAAATTTGCCAGGTTCTATTTTGTTTGAATTGTTCCAAGTAATTTAAAAAAAATAAAACATTTTCAATTAATCAGCTCATGGCTTGAATTAAAACCTTCACATGTTGCTGCACACTGCTAGTCAGCTGGCTGTAGGAAGGTATGAGACTTCACAAAGATGAAATCAGCTGCGTGAAAATATTTTGCAACTATTACTAAACTAATACGAGCTTGCTTGTTAAAAATATTTACAATCAGCTGGCTGATTGTAAATTTTTATGTAGTTTTTTTTTTATCTTAAATTTGACTTGCATTAGATGAAGCCTACTGTATTTCAGTAGCTCCATTAAGCCAGGATGTTTCAGCAGTGAAATAAAAATAAGCCAATATTACAAATGTTTAATCTGTGCATTCATGATAGGTAACAGTGACTGCAAAGATGCCTTTTTTTAACATTATACACCAGGATGAATGAGAACAGTTGTGATTTGGGTAATTTGTACCATCCATTCAGTTTATGTCTGTTCAGGAAAAAACATGCACAAGCACATTTAAAAAACAACAAAAACAAACACTTTGTACAATCTATTTCCATAATTAAGAAATGTAGATAAACTATTGATAAAATTAGTGCTTTCAGCTTACCTGTGTACATACAGTATGCATATAATATACCTCCTGCCCCTCTGTAGTGATTCATAAGCAGGTCTGAAATATTGAATCAGTCATATTTAACATGCACACTGACAGGAAGTCAGCTGAAAACATCCAATCAGATTTAAGGAGGAAGCACGTGCTTTAATGGCGTTTTAACATTAAAAACTAGATGTAGTGTTTTACCTGAAAAATGAAAATAAACTCATCAGTTTTGGTGTGCTGATTTTACTGAGGTATCTTTAGTCAAAGTTCTGTCCATCACAACTGGCTGGGGACAATAGAACATTCTAGCAGCTAAGGATTGAGTTCAGCTCAATTTCCAACTCCATAGCTGCGCTGACGCCACCAACAGGACGGCACATCAGGGTTATTGTAGAACAAAAAAAAGGAAGTTTCTGTCAAAAAAAATCAGAATTTTTTTTTTAATCTCAGAAATTTTCTAGAAAAATAATTTGAAATTTCTGATATTAAAAAGTCAAACATCTGCTCAAATTTTGAGATTAATTTATACAATTTTTCTTTGAAATTTATAAAAAAAAATATCAAAGTTTCTTCTAGAAAAATTCTGAAATTCATCTCAAAATTTTAGTTTTTTTTTTTCCTAGAACATTTTGACTTCTCAAACTCAGAAACGAGAAGCTTTGACAAGAAAAATTCTGAGATTAATCTAAAAAATTCTGACTTTTTTTTTTCCTTATCTACAATGGCCCCAATATGCTGTTGTACCCTTGTGGGCATTTCTATAAGGCATTGCAATGTCATGCTTCTATCTAGTCTATTTTAAAGCATTTTAAAAGAAAACATCTTGGATTTTTTCTCTAGAAGTGACTGGTTGAACTGCTCGCCAGAGGGGAAACTTTTTTTTTTTTCAAGTCAGGAAACTGCTGTAGTAGTCAAGATGTTAGCTGTAGCTGACCGTTCAGTGACCAAGCCTTCACTGAACACCAGGTCCAGAAATGATCCAAGCTGAGGGATACACATCAATACACATCAAATATGTGACTGAATATAATCTGTACACATTTTTTTTTTCTTTTAAAAAATCTGAAGACAGCAACACCGAATAATGTGATTGTAATGGTGCCGTCTTCTCAGTCCGTATGGAAAACATTCTCAGTGGTCAGTCAACGGACACGGCGGCGATCTGTGCAGGATCTCCCTCCATTTTCCATCCAACACAATTCCATTCAATTAAAAGAAAACAACAACAATCTCATCTGGATTAAAAAACAAACAAACAAAACATCTGAGGTCCTTGTAGAGGTCATCTAGATTTTCTTCTCAATGGCACAGTTTGTTCTCTCAACATTTTGGGCAGGGAGGAAGGAAGAAAAGATTGTTTATAAAAAGTGAGCTCCAGTCATCACTGAGCTGTTTAGTTCACAGTGTGTGTGTGTGTGTGTGTGTGTGTGTGTGTGTGTGTGTGTGTCTTTGAAGGTGGAGCTAACACCAGTCAGCGATGTAATCAAAGTCAGAAAACAGGTTCTGCTCCTCGGAGCTCAGGACTCGGGGTTCTCTGGGGGGGGTTAAAATCGGAGCCTCTGAGGTAAATTCATCGTCGAAGTTGCTGACGTCGTTGGCACCCTGGATGGTCGGCACGAACGGCGGCTTCACCTTCTTGGCCAGCAAACCGTCCCAGTCCAAGTTCTACCGACACACACACACACACACACACACACACACACACACACACACACACACACACACACACACACACACACACACACACACACTTAGCATTCTGGTTGCGCACCATTTTAATAAAGAACGCCTGGGTTTTTCTTCCCCTCTTACCCTGAAGAATAGATGTTTCTTAACTTCCTCTGCATCTCTTTCTCCTGCTCCCAGACGGCGCTCCGGGCTCCTCCTCAAAAGCTGTGAAGAAAGAAAAGATGACTCAGTGGAACACCTCAAAAAATATATCAGCTTAACTTAATGTATATCATGGATCTTATTTGGATTTTTAAATTATTTAAAGGTTTTTTATTAGAGCTAGTTATAAAACATTGTATCAGGGGGGAAACGATTTGGTTCAGACAGACACTGTACTCAATTATCTCAGTAGCCACTAGAGGGCGTTTGGACTTATGATGTTTCAGTGCCTTTCAAAAACATTGATACTTCCTGAACCTTTTGACATTTTATCAGGTTCCAACCGCTGACCTCGGTGCGTTATACTGGGACACAGATTAATGTGACTCATTAGTGTGGACTCATCCTGACACACACCCTCCTCATGATGGAGATGGCCTCGGTGGAGAGGAAGCGTGGATAGCGGACTTCATCGTTCACGATGCTGTCGAACACCTCCTCCTCGTCATCGCCGGGAAACGGTGACTGGACACAAACACAGACGGTTACAGGAAGCCCTGCCTTGCTCGCAGTAATCTACCCGGAGATGGCGGCTCACCTCTCCCACCAGCATCTCGAAGATGAGCACGCCCAGCCCCCACCAGTCCACGGCGCGGGTGTACGACGTCTCCGTTAAAACCTCAGGGGCCAGGAACTCCGGCGTGCCGCAGAAGGTGCTGGTGCGATCCCTGAAGCCCATTCCTGAGAGCAGGACGCACTGATCAGAACCAACGCCACTTCACAGAGCGCTGTGCTGACCGGACCGGATCAAGCAGGAGCATTTTATCGTAGTGTTCATGCAATCGGTCATCTTACCTTCTTTGCAAAGGCCAAAGTCAGCGATCTTCACATATCCCTCTGTGTCCAGAAGCAGGTTGTCCAGCTTCAGGTCTCTGAGGGTCACACACACACTTCCCGTTATATATATATATATATATATATATATATATATATATATATATATATATATATATATATATATATATATATATATATATATATATATATATATTCCAGAGTTCAAGTTTATTTTTAAAAACATATTAGTGAACATGTACATGTAAATACATGAGGTGGCTCATTTCCATCTCTATTCCTGTTGGCAAAAGGATAAAAAACACTAAATAAAACTACAGAATAAAAAATACATAAATCACCTTAAGATCTCTATGTTTTACTAAATGCTGACATTTTTGGCTTTCAAAGAGCCAGTTTTTAAAATTTTTTTTAAAAATGAGATGAGAAGTGAAAGGTCACATATATACGTCTAGTTAAAACTAGCTTGACCTACTTCAGTTTTCCTATGTGGAACTGAACCATCAAAAACAAATCAAAAACAAAGCTGTTTTTGATTTTGTCCAGGGATTTATTTCACTATAAACCAGTGAAAAAATCCCTTGGATTTGTTTCCCAGAGGAACGTACCTGTACACTATCTTGTGGTCGTGTAAAAACTGTAATCCCAGAACGACACACGCTGCATAAAATCTGCAAGAGGACAGAATGGCAATAAGAACATGGCCGTCACTGAGGAGAGCAAAGAAACAGAGAAAATAGTTTGAGCATCAAATCAAATGGTTTTCACACTAGTTGTGGTTGTGATGGTGACAGGGAAACTCCTCAAGCTGGATGAAAGCTAGAGATGCACCGATCAGATTTTAACATCTGTAACCTGGAGATGGGATACAGTGTCCAGGAGCTGGACTACCTGCTCCTGGACACTGACGGGATACAGATATTATCCCATTTAAGGGATAATACTGAAACAAATTCTAGATCGGTACACTATCTTGTGGTCGTGTAAAAACTGTAATCCCAGAACGACACACGCTGCATAAATCCACAAGAGGACAGAATGGCAATAAGAACATGGCCGTCACCGAGGCCATGTTGTGGTTGTATGAGTGACAATGTTCCTAATCCATAAGGGCAGATCTATTTAGTCTGTGCTATGCTCTGAGCAACATCATGCTTCATTCATTGTTAAATTATATTTAGAATTCCTAATTTCACTTTCTGAACCTTTTAAAGGAGGTTTGCTGCAGTTTATTTTTTATATGTTTGACCAGGGTAGTCAACCTGTTGTTTTTGTCAGTTTCAATCTCTTTATTATTTATTTTTATATTGACTGTTCTACTCCTAATTGCACTGACAAATGAAAGATGTTTTACATATTTGACCGAGCTTGTAAAGCTGTTGGTGCATTTAAGTGTTTGTACAGGTGCAGAGTTATCAGATTCATTTGTAACTCAGTGCATTTACGTCTGTTAAAAAAAAAGAACATTTTCAGTCAATTCAGCTCAATACCAAAAATGTCGCCAGTGGCGTTCAGAATGTGTGTGTGTGACCAACAGGAAGCTGCGGCGCCACTCACACGGCCCGGGGCTCAGAGAACACGTCGGCGTGGATGTGCATCATCAGGTCGCCTCCCGCTGCGTACTCCATTACAAAGCAGACGTGCTCCGACGTCTGGAAACACGCAAACAAGTTGACCAGGAAGGGGTGGCGGACGCTGTTGACCGTCTCAAAAATCCTCTTCTCACACATCAGACTGGAAGACAGAGACAGAGACGGCTGGACTTCAGCAACAGGCAGGACTTCAATGGAGTTAGCATCAGGGCTAGCATGATGCTAACCTCGTGTGTTCATATACACAAAACTACAAAGTATGTCTGAGGCGCCTGCCATTTGGCACTCATTTAAAGGGCCAGTTCAGCATTTTGAAGGAGTTGAGATTTCATTTCAACATCTCTAGTTACAAAATGTCTCATATTAGAGTTCAGCTGAATTATTTTACACTTAGAATAAAACATTTATGTGTGCCATTTTTATAGCACAATTTGAGATTGATTAAACAATTATTCCATTTGTAAAAACAAAAATATTTAGAGATGAGCCTTAAAGATGAGCCAAAATTGTTTAATAATCATAGTAATAAAAATAATAATAATCAAAGTAGAACCAGTATTAAAAAGAAGCAGGAGTTGTCTAAGTTTAACAGTTGTTGGCTTAAAAATCTGGGAAGTGAGTTCATACACCAACATATGATGGACATGACTGTTTTTGATGATGACACTTAACAAACTGTATTGTTTGTTCTCAAGTTGGTGTCTGTCTGATGTTTTTATGATGTAAAGAACTTTGAATGGCCTTGTTGATGGAATGTGATATACAAATCAAATTGACTGATTCATTCACAAGTTGTAGCTTGAGATTAATGACAAGAATCCTTAACCTTAGAGTCTGGCATTATGCTTAGTGCGTGCGTCCAGTCTGAGGACAGTTATAACTGCTTACCTGTCCACCTCATCTCGAGCCACAATGTCTCCTTTCTTCAAAGCTTTAATGGCAAACATCTCGCCTGTGCTTTTGTATTCTGATAACAGCACCTGAAGAACAAAAATGAATAGGAAATCGGTGAGTTTATTTAAATCTATCGGAAAGGCATGACCCAAATATGGCAATCTGGGAGAAAAAATAATGTTTGAAAGGAGCATGTCTGTGAGAAAACAACCAGAAGAACTTACCTTTCCAAAGTGACCACGTCCAAGAACAGCCACACATTTAAAATCTTGGAGACTGAAGTGGAACTGCTCTTCTTCCCTTGAAGAGAGATAAATGGATGCAATGTTGGCTACGGATGCCAGGGGGCAGCATTTACACAAATAAAAACCAGTGGATATGTCACAGATGTAGAATCCAAAACAGTAAAATTGTGAGCGTCTGACAAAGATAAAGACCAGTCGGTCCTACCTTATCTCTGAGTCCTTCTGGATGGAAGTGAGCTCCAGGTTGGGATGCTGGAACTCTGGCTCCAGAACCCCGTCAGCGTCTGGTTCCAGAACCGTGCTGATTCTCTTATTCAGGAAGTTGAATTCACTCAGTGCGTCCTGCAGACACACACAGGTAATGACATGTGTTGGGTGGAGCGTCATCACAGATACCGTGCTGCTCCTGTGACAGAATCCCACCTCCACTTCCTGCTTGTTGGGCATCTTGTTCTGTACAGGTGGTTCTCTGACATCATCAGGTGCTGCGTAGTGTTTGGGTCCTGGTGTGGGTTCTTTGTCGAAATCCAGCTTGGTCACCAGTGGATCGCTGTGAGTGGAGCAGAGGAGGGGGAGTTTTATTTTACATCTTTTAAGAGACAACAGAAGAACCCTCAAATTATTCAGCTTCACCTTACAGTCACAGTTAGATAGAAGGAGTACACCAATAAATCTGACCCAACTTCCTTTATTTTGTTAGATCAGTGATCTGAAAATCAGTCACTGTCCTCTTTGTCTTTCTGCTATGTGAGAGCTGACTATTAGCCCTGCCCACCAGGTCAACTTGCAACTTTGTAGCTCTATGAAGAGATTAAAAAAAAAAAAAAAGGAAAAAAAAGAGAGAAAAAAAGAAAATTTGGTATCAGCCTAAATCGGTTTTAAAGATTGGTGATCGGCCAGAATGCTTAGACACACAGGTAGAATTATACCAGAAGTGTGCTGGTAACTTCAAAAAATACATACACTAAAGAACATTTGACCAAGTTTTAAAATACAAAAGACATCTTTGTGCATAAATTTGACTTCTCGCCCCCAAACAAAAGAAAAAAACAGTTCAAAAGCAACATATACAGCCCAGAATGATGTGCTGGTTCACCTGCTGGGTGTGGGGGAACCAGGAACGCTGCCATGGCCCATCTCAGGAGCTTGGGGGCTGAAAGAGTTGGTGCTGAGATTGGGTATGGCTCTTCTCACCAGCCGCCCCCAGGTGGCGATGTTGATGTTCATCTGGGGGGCTCGTGGGAAGGTCTTACCTGATGAGAACAAATGAGAGGGAAACAAAACGAGGAATATGACGGAAAGCATGGGCTGTGTGAATCAAAGGCAAAAAGGAAACAACATTTCAGATCAGCTAATTTAAAAAAAATTATTTTAAGTAAGGCGGTTTCATTTCTCTAAATGAGGGCTCTGCAGCCTGTGGCTCTTATTAACTTTGGTCTAAAACACTAAAATATTAGTGTTTTAAACTACAACAGTAATAAAAAAAATGCTGCTTGTTTTCATGTGATTTTAAAGATTTTATGTTCCATTGAAAAATTATGTTCATTCTTTTAGTTTTTAGGTCTTATTTTAAGACCTAAAAACAAAAACAAAAATGTTTTTCAACCCTCCTGAAATCTTAGTGTGTCATTCAGCAAAAGTTACGGTTGGACAGCGAGGAAGGCTAGGCTTGTTCCATCAGACCATCAGTTCCCGAAACCACACACACAAAAAAACATGTAAAAGCGTACGTAGGATCAGTGCAACCCCGCTTGACCGTGCACAGACTAAAAAACAGTAGGGTCTAATGGACCCCGTCTCCTTGGGAGGGTCAATTTTAATAAGTTAAGCTAAATAAAATAATTAGCTTCATATAGCTTTAGTATTTCATGTAGCATCATTCATTAAAAATAAAAAAATCAAACTTCCACCACAGTCCACCGTAAAACACTGATGTAGCAGCAACACCTCACCTTGTTGTTTAGAGAAAATCTTTTTTTGTCTTTGCAGCTTTGGTCTTCTCTCAATAACAGGATTGAAAAATGTTACCTTAAAACAAAACAAGAGAAAAAGATAGTTAGAATAGCTAAAAAAACAACACAGCTTTGGTGTTCACTGTGACACCAAAGCTGTGTTATTCCTACAGCAGATTATGAATATAGAAACACTTATCATCCTTTTATGGGCTTGAAGTACTTGGTGTGTGTGGCTGGACCTACCTCAGCAAACAGCATCCCCTGTGGCTCCAGGTACAGACACATTCCATGACGCTGGTTGTCCAGGAAGTCCTCCAGCCTCAGGAACTTGACAGCGCAGAGGGAACGCCAGTCCCGCCAGTACACAGAGATCTCCAACTCTCGAGACTGCGGGACAGAATCGGGTCAGCAGCAGCAGCAGCAAACATTTACTTGGAGCAGAACGGCCCAGCTGGCAGCGCAGGTGGAGATCAAAGGCAGATGTGTGTTACCCGATCCAGCTCCAGTGTAAACTTCTGGTCCCAGGCCTGGTTACTGACGGGCTTCCAGCTCGTCTGTCCGACCACTGTGTTGTCCAGCTTCAGGACGGCGCTGATCTCATCTGGAGAAAACACAGTGAGCTGTCAGGTTGTTTCTAATAAGACCACAGTTGTCATTTTTGGGGGGTTTATTATTAACTCATTATACAAACTGCTTAATGTCATTTTCTTTGTAAATAATCAGACTTTTTTTTTTTTTAGAATAGCTATAAGGTGTTTTACTAGGGGTGCACCAATTATCGATCTTTAAAAAGCCTGACCTGCTGATTCAGATTTTAGCCAACATAGTTTCTTTTGTCTGAAAAGTCACTAAATATTACAATAAATTTGCTAAATTGGCAACAGTGGGGTGATTATTGTTAACCACACACATTAATTTCTCAGAACATTAATTTACCCTGGAACATTTGTGTGTGTGTGTGTGTGTGTGTGTGTGTGTGTGTGTGTGTGTGTGTGTGTGTGTGTGTGTTAGCACATTGAGTAGCACACACATGAGGTTGACTGATAGTGCTAAGACTGTTCTCCTGGATCTGATTGGTTGTTTCTGGCCAACTATTGCGATCTGCACATTTCTGCAGACCACAATAGTAGAAAAAGGACGAGGCGAAGAAGCTCCATCTTTGACAGGTTATCTGTCTCATATTCTACTGTCATATTAGTGACATACAACATTTTTAATAAAAGTTACATGCTGCAGCTTTAAAACACTATAAAACAAATCTGGGATTGGTGATATGTTGGACACCTGCTGGACTCACTCAGCGTTTGGGGACATAATCAACATAAACAAACCAGGTTTCAAACATTTACTAGACGTGCACATAAAAACCAGCGTTGTACATAAAAAGGGAACAGGAAGTTAAGAAACCTCTTGTGAAAATGTGCGAGAATGGCCCCAGAAAGCTCCCCTGGTTCTTCAGTTTCCATGCCAACAGAGTCAGAGGGAGGTGAGGTGTACTTACTGGAGAGCTCCTCACTCTTTGTGAGGTTCCTGGAGCTCACGCCTCGGTTCCTGTTGGCTCGGCTAATGAAAGATGAGCGCGTCTCGCTGGGGCTCCAGCCAGGCAGCGGGCTGGGGGCCGCCTTGGAACGGCCGGGGACATTTTCCAGAAGGTCCTGGCAGCCCATGAGTCTGACATCTAACGTGCCTGAGGACGAAAGTAACGAACCAGTCAGTGTGTGGAAGGTTACTCCAAACACAGTCAGACCGTCTTTTTATACTGCAGCTGCAGCAGAAATGCAAATATGACTCGTTTAATGAGTTAGACTAGTCTAGTCTTGCATGTGGACTAGTATCACATTCAGGTTCTACCAATTCACAACAAGTAGTAATTAAATTTTATTAGAGGAAGCCAACAAACCGACTCTATGAGCGACTGTTGACTAAAATAAAATAAAACACACACCAGACCTACGGCGTCTAACTGAATCTCAGTTTTAGTTTTAAGCCCTGCTTACGAGAGCTTAATCCAGCCAAAGCCTGATACCTCAGCAGAATTAAATAAATCCCACATTTATATGCATTAGCATCAGCTTTAAAGAGAAGCCCACTCGTCCTCAAACAGATGATTACTGTAACAAACTGTATTAAATCTAACTTTGTCCTATCAGCCAATAAACATCTGATTGATAGATAGCTGTGCCTGAGGAAAGCAGAATGACTAATCCAACTATTAGTGCAAGCCTGAGATTATCTTCTACTGCAAGGAAACATGAAGCACGATGCATGTTATTCCTCACCATGAAGCATAATATTTATGGATTACTTTATGTAAAATAATTAAACACTCCTGTTTGTTTTCTCACCTAATTCAAAAAGATTCATCCAAGGTTATTTAGTGATACTGAGAGCTAAGTAGTAACTGTTGCTATGCGTCATTGTTCCAACTTTGCCTCCCTTCACACAGCAGCTTTTTCCTCTCTTTTATTTTTTGGTGGTTGTTCATAGAACTAATTAAAAGTGACTGAAATCAGAGTTCTGTTGTGAATGGTTCATAACTCCAAAGTGACCCACATTCACAGAAGAAGAAAGTAAACGACACACTGCAGTGAGATTGTTATAGAAGTAATAACAAAACACCACCATCTATGGATCACATTTAAAGTTATTCAGGAAACAGACATGATTGTGACAAGTTCATAAGATGGAGGAGGCAAATTTAAAAAAACACACAATTAAAAGAATATTAGCTGCAGCTTCTACAGAGAAACCTGTTGCGTAGTCAGAACCAGAAGACTTCTTTTATAGTTTCATGTATGTACTGATCCACTTTCACTTCCGATACCGATTCAGATATCTGAGGTTTATATCGGCCGACACAGAAAAGCAGCTGAACTGACTTAAAACATTTATTTTTGTTTTAAACAGACATAATTAATGCACAGTACTGCATTAAAAATGTAGTTGTTAACTCTCCACCAATACAGCACAACTAAACACAACAATAGCTTGGTCAAACATATAAAAACAACCTTCATGTTTTCAGTCAGTGCAATTAGAACTAAGATAGTCAGTGTAAAATAAATGTTAAAGAAACTGAAACTGACAAAAAAAAAGTTGGATTGATCAAACATGTAAAAATAAATTGCAACAAATCTTCTTTCAATGATTTAGAAAGTGCAATTTAGGAATTCTAAATATAATGTAAAATAAATAAAACATGATGTCACTCAGAGCACAAAGCATAAAATTAGACTGAATAGATCTGCCCTTATGGATCAGGTGCATTGTGATGGATACCTGATCTAGATCTGTTTTCAATATCAGGACCAATACAGATACTAATATCTGATTTGTGCATTTCTAGTTTCATAATAATAATTTCTAGCCATTGTTTACGTCTAGTTCTACCACATCTGGCTTCTTCGGGTGCAGAATTATCAAGTATAAAAGTCTCACTGCTCACCCACACTCAATGCAAACCTCTAAAACCTCGATTGCAAAATCTGAATTGTGCTTTTAGAGGTTTGTATTTTCTTATATTTGCGCTAACCATGCTGTGAAGAAGATGCATGTGTATATATCTTTGGCCCAAACATGAGCTGGTTTTGTGAGGTGTTTTGACTAGGCCGGTCCCAGTGCAGCCAGGCTGTGGGCGAGTCTACAGCTTGTTCAGGCACACAGGTGGAGGGGTGTGTCTGCACAGGCAGAGAGGAAACACTAAAATACGGGCATGGCTTTACAAGACTAACAGGTTCGCTAATGTAACATTGCACTGTGTTGATGTAAACAGTAATGTTGCATTTTATAACCCATCTGGAACAACATCAGCCAAGTCAGGAGGGTGACGTCACACTATCATCCAAGATCTGCATTAACAAATCACTGTACGGTTGTGGGTTTCTGATGTGCAGCCAAGCTGTGTGTGTGTTACCTGTGAGCGCTGCGGGCTTGGTGACAGTGCTGTACTGGTTCTGTGTGGAGATGATGCTGGACCTGGGGCTGAGGGCGGGGGAGGACAGCAGAGACAGCTCCTCTACGATGGCGCTGCTGCGAGGGTGGTTTTTTGGCAACTCGCTAAGGCGCTCCTCTAATGAGTAACGCAACAGGTCCAGCTTCTGGCTGGACTCGGTAAAGCGAGCCTGCGCCTGGAAGAGAGCAGCCAATTAAAACCGTAAGACGCAGGTATGCAAGTCGAGAAGAGTTGCTTTGAATGTTATAGTTTACACTAAAACAGTCTTGCCTCTGAGTGAGCTTTCTTTTCTGTGACTTTTCCGGAGCCCAGCAGCTTCATGACGTTCTTGGCTCCCTCTGCCACTGCAGACTCTATCCTGGCATGGTGACACAGCTCCTCCACCCGCAGGTCCAGAGGACTGATGATGGACTTGTCAGCTAGTCAGAGAACAAACCAGCACACAGCTGTTAGTAACTTCAGGATGGAAACAACAAAACAACCTCTTATAGGCGTAACTCATATCCCACATGTAGAGTTTTGTACAGTAATTTTAATAGCATCATATTCCATTTTTCTATGTCTTATGGAAAAGTAAAAATAATAAGCTTTACAGTTCTTACATAACATTTTATAAACATGATCAAGCTGTTTTTATTTAAATCAAAGAAAAAAGCAATATAAAGTCTTGAAATAATAAAACTTGCTGATTATTAAATCTCTAACGATGCCTTTTTTCACATATAAATCTAAAAATATTTAGATTTTGAAGCTTGGATTAAAGCAGACAAACAGAGTAGGTCTGTCATGAAAACAAGTTCAGCCTGACGATAAATTGTCCCAGAAGTTATTGCAATAAATTATAATTTTGTTGTTTTGAGACAATTTTCTAGAAATGTAATGGTAATGGCATAATAACTCAAGAACACATTCTCAGAGATCAATAGTCTTTAAATTCTAATGAACATCTCACACTGGACCTAGAAAGGGTTTTAAATATCCAAAATAATGAAACANCAGAAACANCAAACAAAACGAATTATGGAGTCTCTGCAAACAAAACTGTCCTTAGTTGAGACCAAAGTACCAGGCAGAAGACAGAAAGAAAAAGAAGAGAACAATGATAGATCATACAAATTATTGAATTTGTTGTAGTTTATTATGCGATTAATTGACTTATTACTTGATACGACAGGCTTAAAACAGAAGGAAGAATTTGCAAGAGTTTTCAAGTACAGTTGAAACATTCTGACAAATCACAGATATTTAAAAAGCCTGACTTGATGATTCAGATGTTTTTGTTGCTTTTGTCGCCAAATATAGCAACACAGTTGCTAAGTTAACATTACGCTGAATAATGTTAACCGCACACATGCAGATGTGACCTGGTGGATGGGGCTAACAGTCAGCTCTCTCTCTCACCACAAAGTAAAAGAGGACAGCAGCTGATTTTCAGCCCTTTGCTGAGGTAGATGAAATTAGAAGTAAGATTGATTTCTCATTAAGCATTGGCCGATTGCTGATTTCCAAAATTGAGAAAATTGGAGCTGTGTTGTCTGCGATGGACTGGCAACCTGTCCAGGGTGACCCAGCTTCTTCCCTGAAACGTCTTGCTGAAGATAGTCACCAGCACCCCTCCTGACCCCACTAGGAACAAAGGTGTAAAAAAATGGATGGAGGGAGCTAAACTATACCTACTTTCAAGTAAACATTGGTGGTGTGCAGCAACAGGTGAGGGAGGGGAAGCGCACCATTACTCTGGCGCTTCTACCTCCTTTGAGTTCTAAGAACTTTAAACCGTGCAAACTTCACTACAACAGAATACAGATCATTACATCATCGTCTTTAAAAGCAGGTATGAAACAAAGCACTGTCATTATGAAACAGCTCTATTCCATAAGTAAAAACTTGTGTCAAATCAACCAAGGATTGGCGAACAGGCTAAATTATCTGTAGTTGTGTAGCCCTGGTCAGTAAATGGGTGTGGCAGCTCACCCATCAGGTCATTGCTCTCAAAGCTCAGCTCCGTGGCTTGACTGGCCTTCAGGATCTGCATTCTGATGAACTCTATCTTCGTCTTGCTGTCCTGAAGCATCTGCTGAGCGGCGGCCAGTAACTTGCGGTCCTGGTGGTGAAAAACAAAAAGAAAAATCTACATTAGAAAGTGTTTGTCATGAACAACAGAGTTAAATTCATATTTTGTGGTTTGAGGAAAAGCGTGGACGTCACATGGCCCCCGACCTCTAGCCCTGTTATTTACTGACGTCATAAACCATCTGACCACCTGCAGAGGGAGACCAGATTTGGTGCCACAACCTCAGCTTGTGCCCTTAATTGGACTTGTGGTACAACTGACCACATGGAAAACTGTGTTCACTGCAAACAAAGCAGAATCCTATTGTGGAGTTCCTCCTATTTGCTGTTCCTCTCATGCATGCAAATACACACACACACACACACACACACACACACACACACACACACACACACACACACACACAGAGAGATACCCCCCAAACAGACGCTGGGAGTCCGGTAACAATACTAAGGCCTGGTTATGACCTGCAGGCCGACAAATGTTCCTCTTGTTTGAAAACAACGTTCATGTGGACGAGCCAACAGTTATATTCTAACGTTTAATTGATTTATTGGATAAAAAATTGGCAAGTTCTCCAGATTTTTAATTTAACCATTTCAGCCTATTGTGTACAATATTAAAAATCCATAAAAATGTAAAACTAACTCATTTCCTTTTGTTAAATAAGAAAATAAACATATAGTTCCCTAAAATGAAATGATTATTTGTGTGAACATTTGTAGCAAGCGGGGGTTTTCTAAGAATTTGACAAAGAAGTTTTTATTTTTATCTTGAGTGCTAAATGAATGTTGTTTTTTTGTTTTTTTTGTTTTTTTTACAATTTAGTTTTAATTACTGCTGATTAAATTAGCTGGCAATTATTTCAATAATTGACTAATCATGATAAATTTGATTCATTGCTTAAGCTCTAATGTGGACAACAATAATGATTAATTTGGAGAACAACTTGGTCAAAAATAAGATGCACACCAGTTTCCTTTTTCTTCTTTTTTTTTTTTTTACCACTGAACAAAAAAAAAAAAAAAAAAAAAGCTTCCCCCATCTTCCTCATTGAGATCAGAAATAGTGTGGACTTTCCTCAATAACTTTTACAATGAAGAGTGTCGGTGGCGTCACTAATGAAATACAAAGGTGAACATTTTCTGGGTGAATCTCTGTATTACATCAAAGGAGCAATCAAATTCAATCAAAGGCAAATTAACACTTTTTAGAAAAACCGAGTAAAATAAGAAACGATCCATAATACAGGGGTGATGTTTTACAGTTAAACATCAGACAGCAGTTCTGATGAACACGAGACGTTGTGAGTGCTCCCGCTGTTATTACCTGAAGCCTCATGCTACACACCTCCCTCCTAAATAATAGTCTGTCCTCCCTCTGTGCAGGGAAAGAGACAATCCAGCTTTGGAAACAAACAGCTGTGTGTGTGTAGCACAGTATGTGTCAGCGCCTTCTCACGTTCCCCCTGAACAAGCTGCCATGTCACAGACTGGGTTTCAAGTCACATTTAAGAGTTTCTGCTTTCAGTTCAAACTCTGAGCTCTTCCTTAAGTGGCTGAAACATATTGGAGAGACAGATCTATCATTTAAAAGTTCAGGGGGCATCATGAGTTAAATTTACCAGCTTATGTTTCTGTCACTGATGGCCCCGCCTTCACCAGGTGCCTCATCTGTCTGTTTTTGCTTTCCTGTGACAACCAGAGGCTCATTCCAAAGCAGAGTGCCCCATATCCTGATAATGTTCATCAGAATTGAACAAGAAAGACAAACTGGACCAATCAGCCCCCAAAAATTGACAGACTATATCTTTTTTCTAAGGGCAAAAAACAGAACCTCTTTTTATGTTTTGGACCTATGATTTACCTTTTTTTTTGACTACTTTCTTACATAAAATTCTTTTTTTGTGTGTGTTCAATATATTTAAAATTTTTTGATTTTATGCCTGTAGTACCTCTAAACTGCTGATTTTATCCAGTGGGATAAAGGTTTGGACACCAGTGACAACCTTCGGCAAACTTTGTGTTTCATGTGCCCAAGTTTTCCAAGCCTTTTTAAAAGTGGCAGCTAAAACAGCAGCTGGGGTAAGAACCCTTCTGACGAAGCTGAAATCTCTCAGCGACAGATATTACTTCGTAAAGTGTAACCTTATTCCAACTAGCCAGAATGAGAACAATGGTGACGTCTCAATCTCACTCACGCTGACATCCTGTCATGACTCAGCAAAAACCTGAAAGTCGAGTGAGTCCTGCTCCTCTGGTGCTGTGCTCACCTTGGAGGAGCCGTTGGAGTACATCTGAATCATGTTCTCGGCTCCCTGTTTCACCTTCAGTTCGATGTCATTCTGCCGTTTTAAAGCTGCCAGGCGGCTGTTGCTTGTGCACGTTCTCGCTTCACTGCTTGGAGTATCGGGGGTTAAAGGGCACTCTAGAAAGAGACAAAAAAGGGTGAAACATACGGTCAGCTGTACAGAGACTTACTGGGATTTTGACAATATAGCAACCATGAAGTTGTTCAAAATGACTGATGCTTCATGATCTACTTTTGTTTGCAGTTTAAAGAGCCAGTATGATGTATTTTCCAGGTACATAGTGTCATGTTAGAGCACAATCAAGTAACTATGTTATTTTCAGTTGCTTTAAAAATGAGGAACATCAGGTTTTTTGCTGCCGATTCCGATACCAAGTGTTGGTAGTTGTGCGCTGCTTTACCTGCTATCTGGCTCTGGATGACCTTTTTTTCCTGCATTGAGCCTCAATGTAGCCAAACTCTGTCAAGTGCTTGTTTTTTTAAATGCCATATTAGATTTGTTGTGTTGATACATTTTGACATGCTTCACCCCCGAGGTGCGCAACATGCAAGCATCCCCATTCACTCTCAGAGCATTATTGTTCCACACTACAGGACTTTTTGCCGTGCGGATGTGCAGTGTGAAGGAAAGAGGAGATCAGCTGCACACGAAGGCTGCAACGTGAGATACAGGTGATCAGTTTTGGTGATTAGTAACAAGAAACAGTAATCGGCGATCACCGATCATACACTTTTTCACGGAAATCGACCAATTATGATCAGTGGCCGATCGATCGGCACACCTCTAATAAAAATGCTACATATATCAAATATGACTTAAAAGAAATTTGACTTGGTAAATGAATGCCTTAAAATTGGACCTCTGTCTCTTTAAAAACTCCTGCTCTTTCTAAAACTCTGCCTTCAGAAATTTGAACCTTTTCACCAGCACTGAACTGAGAAGAAGCATGTATGATGAGCTCAGCAGATGAGCAGTTCCACCAGGTGTTTGCTAATTGCTACTAGCTAGTCTGAAGGAGCTGAGTGGGGGAAGAGCTGCTCTGTGAGGCAGAAGCTGGGAAGCTTAGAAACTGCAGCTCCAAGGAAGAGCGTGGTCCTTGAAGGCGGAGCTAAGTCCAGCCAGGCATTTTGCACAACTCAATTGTTGTCTTGGAGATTAAAGGATTGCTCAACCATTCATGAAAGAATCAAGGCAACACTCCAGGTATGTTTTTGATGAGAGGAAAAATAGTTATTTGCATGATGCAAAGTTAAAAAAAACAATGATTTTACATCATACTGGCCCTTTAATGCAGTTTGTTGAAAGGCTTGCAGGCATCCGCACTGCTTGGTGAGAACATGCAGACAGAGCCCTGATGTCTGCAAATATGAACAAATAACAGTGATAAATCAATGGGTTCTTTAATATCTCCTAAATATACCTATTTCCACTGAAAACAGAAAAGATAAAAAAAGAAAAAAAAACAGCTCCAAGATGCTGACAGAAACAAGAAAATGTATGACTCATGCTTCGGGTGTTTCAGTAAATACTGTGTAATGTTTTCTGTTGAACACCTGTGGATGAGAGCAGAATGGAAGCACGTGATTCATTCAACCAAAATACTACATGAGTCACGTAATGACCTTTAATAGGCTGGGGAGGATTGGCATTGGTGCTTTCTGTTTAACGGGAGAAGAGGACACAGAGACTAGAAAGTAAGTTGGGGATGTTAGAGGGGCCTAAAGCTAAATAAATATTCTAAATGTTTGGTGCATAGAAAGTAGAAATGAACTGAAAAATGAACTCAGGAATCAGATCTTTTTCTCATCAGTGAACACAACATATGTAAGCATGACTAGATCATGCTCACACCAACACTGTTTGGTGTGGAATCAGTAAATATAGAGTATTCGTTAAAGAAAGTAGGGCTGAAAAACATATCACGATATAAGTGTTTCATATCACTTGATATTGATTATTATTGGTAGGTTTTTATTTGTTTTAAATATCTGAAATACTGGCAAAGTGGTGGTGTGACCTTTCATTTTTTGTCCAGTTTTCGCCATTGGTTTTCCTATTTTTAAGAAGTTATGAGGCACGGTGGCAAAACATGAAACTGCTGCTGCACAAGTTATCCTACAGCTTGTTGCAAGGTAATCACAGAGTGAGTTAGTTGATGCCACCAAGCTAACTTAGCTGGCCTTTAGAGGTTGAGCGGTTAACGTCCTTCCTCTGCCTGTATCCCCCAGAATGTCATGCAATCAGAGTTCAGTGAATATTCTATATATTGAATGTTCTGTCAGATGTATTATCTATTATTATGATTATTACTATTAACAATAATAGTAATAATAATAATATGTATCAAAATATATGTTATGAGTTTATTGCTGCTAAAAGAAATAAGTAAAACAATAGATCAAAATGGTTTAAATCACATTTTGCTAGAATGTTTTGACTCCATTTTCAAAAAGAAATGTATGTGCCTATGTACAATAATTAAACATGAAAAGAGATCGAGTCATAAATTAGTGTTTCCAATAAACACTTATAAAAAGTAACAATAATGTTTGAATGTGTCTAAAATCCATGTTGTCAAGACAATGCATCATTAATCAGTTACTTTTTTGCTGAAAATACTTAAAGGGACAGTATTATACATTTTCTAGGCACATAGTGCCATTTTATAGCACAATCAAGTAACTATGTTATTTTCAGTTGCTATAAAAATGATTCATATATCAAATATAACTTAAAAGAAATTTGACTTCGTAATTTAATGTCTTGAAATTGGGCCTCTGTCTCTAAGAACTCCTGGTCTTACTGAAATTGTGCCTTCAGGAAGTTGAACAAGGTTTTTACCAGGATTGCACTGAGAAGTAGCTCATATAATAAACTCAGCAGATGCACAATCCTGCCAGGTATTTGCTAATTGCTGCTGGCTAGTCTGAAGGAGCTGGGTGGGAGAAATGAGGGTGATGGTGGATCAGCTGCGTCTTGAAGGCGGCATTAGGTCCAACCAGGCTTTTTGCACAGCTGAATGACTGCCATGCGAGATTAAAGGATTTCCTCAAACATTTATCAAAGAATCAAGGCAACACTCCTGGTATGTTTTTGATGAGAGAATAACATCAGAATATGATGTAAAGCTTAACACAGCTGATTTTACATAATGCTGTTCTTTAAAAAAAATTCAAAAGTTTACCTCACAGTCACATCTCTCAAGTTTCAACTTCATGCAACAATATGACGTTGCTGTTTCACATTAATGTAAGGAATATTTTTAGCAGCATTAGGAATGATTTATGCTTTTCTGTAGATTACACTACAGAAATCAGAAACTGGCCACAAATCATCAATCAGTGCATCTGTAACAGCAGCGTTAGCAGTGAGCTCATGTTATGTCAGCGGTGATGGCACACCACAACACGTGTAGAAGAGCTGAGTCTGCCGTCCAGTTTACGATTGGGACTTGCTTCTCTCTGTGGGGGGTGTGGTATGGCTCAGGTCGTTTCCCACCAGGAATTCAGTGACCCCCACCCAGAGAGTGGGCCGTGGAACGACACAGTGAGCTCCTGAATAGCTGCAGGGCTGATGTCACCGCTGGACCACTGACAAAGGGGAACCCTCCCACATATTAACCCGGCCTGCGTCTGATAGGAAGGCAAACATGACTAATACGGTTCACTAAGCAATGACATCATCACTGGGAAACTCAGACCTGAAACCATGCTGGGTTTGTCTCCATGGAGATGAAATATGATTGAAGGTTAGAGAGTGGATCAGCTCTGAGTGTTGGAATTCCCCTTAGAAAAGAGAGCAGATGTGACTGGGGAAACCTGATTGGTGGTTCTTTATCAAAGCCACTGCTTCCCAGCCAGTCTATTTCTGGCTTCAGCTGAGAGGTGAAGAAAAGCCAGAGACCCTTCAGTAATGAACACTCTGGTCAACAGAGAAAGTCATTTTTATTAATTCTAGAAGCGAGTGATGTTCCTCACGCGTTCCAGAGCCTAGCATGATTCCAGATGCGGTTTCAGGTCTGAGGAGCTCAGCAACATTCAGACGCCCTCCCTCGGTCACTCTGTGATGGCCAGAAACATTCCACTGGTGCCACGTCACTTATCCAGAATGCCCAAGTTCATCAGATAGGAGGTCACAGAGTCAAGCTAAATTTGTTCCTACTTAAGACAGCCATTCAGACGTCAACAAGGTTCCTCTCCTCAAACACACACACATTATTTAGATTGGGCCTAATAGGCATTATGTCCAAGGCCAATCAGATTCAACTCATTAACTTTGATTAGAGGCCTGAGCCCAAAGTAAACCTGACATATTTCAATTAAGGTTCTACTGCTTTTGTTTTAGTTCACCATGTAAAGTGGCAGTATCATGTAAAACCAAGAATTTTGTTTAGCTTTACATCATTTTATAATGTTATTCCCTCATCAAAAACATACCTGGAGTGTTGTTTTGATTCTTTCATGCATGTTTGAGAAATAATCTCCCGTGGCAACCAATCACTTGTGCAAAAAGTCTGGTTGGACCTAGCTCTACCTTCAAGGTGCAATTTCCAAACTTCTGTCTCCTAGAGCCCCTCTTCCCCTCTGAGCTCCTTCAGACTAACCAACAGCAATTTCAAACAACCGGTTGAACTGGATATCTACTGAACTAGGAGCTACTTCTCAGTGCAATGCTGGTAAAAACGTTGTTAAAGGGTTAATAGAGGAACCATGCTGTGATGACCTCCTGAAGGTGGAGTTTCAGAAAGAGTAGAGTTTTGTAAAAAAAAAAAAAAAAAAAATTTCTTTTAATTCACATTTGGACATATATATATTGCTGTGGATCATAGAACGAAATTAATACCTACATTTCTAAGTTTCGCTGAGTTAACGCGCCTATAGACGACATATATATATATATCCATC